CCCAGCGCCCCACTCTTAAGGAATACATTACGGCGACGCTAGCAACTTTGTTACTTAGGTTGGAATAAATTGAGACCCCCCCTAAATGAAAAAAAATCACTGGCTGGCACCAGAGGTGCACCGATTCATGGCCTTCCGGCACCCCTCCACCGGTGCACTGCAGTGATGGGTCCCCCTTCCCTTCAGTGCCAGTCAAAGCCCAGTGATCTTCGTGGAGCTTACCACCGCCGCCGCCAGCATTTTCCAGCAGGAGTGCGACCGCCGGGGCCTGCAGGCGCGCATCTTCGTCTACGTAGATGACTTCATGATCATGGGTCACTCGTACACAGACGTCCAGGGCGCCTTTCAGGTCCTCGACGACATCGGCACTGAGTTGGGCCTCGAGTGGAAGGCCAGCAAGGACCGGGGGTGCGACATCCCCTTGCAGCAGCTGGAGTTCCTGGGCATGCTCTTCGACACCATCCGCATGGAGATGTGTATGGCCCGACAAGCGGCAGCGATATGCCAGTGAAGTCACTGCCATCCTAGAGGCGGCCGCCACAGGGCCCGTCCGCCGAGGAGACCTTCAGACACTCGCCGGCCGCCTCATGTTTGTGGCGCGAGCGTGCAGATGGGGCTACACATTCCTTCAGGGCATCTACGACGCTCTCGGCACCCTTCAATACCCCCCGCCGTCATCAGTCACCCTTCCCGAGGGGGCTCTTGACGACCTGCACTTCTGGCAGGACGTCCTCCGCCCGGACTCCTCAGTCTGGGATGGCGTCAAGCGCTGTGTTATGGCCAATCTGGACTTGGTGAGGGGGGAATTCTTGGGGGAAGAGGGCGCCACCATCTTCACAGATGCGAGTGGTGCGGGCTTCGGGGCGGCCTGGGACCAGGCTGAGGTGCAAGGCCACTGGTCTGAAGGGGAGCGGCGACTGCACATCGGCTGGCTGGAGCTCCCAGCGGTCCTGCGGGCGCTGCAGTCCTGGGCGCCTCGGTTGGCGGGGCGCTGGGTGCTGGTCCGGTGCGACAACACCCAGGCGGTAGCGGCCATCAACCATGGTTCCACACGCATCCCAGACGGACGGGCCATCAGCCGACAGCTGGCGCTGCTGGCAGTGCGGCACCAGTTCGAAGTGCGGGCGGAGCATATCGCCGGGGAGCTTAACGTCAGGGTGGACCGGCTCAGCCGCAATCTGGAGTTGGCCCGCAGCCAGAACCTGCGCCTCAAACCTCGCACATTCCACTCCCTGGTCGGGTTTGGGCTGTATGCTCCCTCGGTGGACTGTTGCTGCGACGTGCTAGGTATCAACGCACAGCCGGGCTGCTCCACCTTCTTCAGCCCGGATAAGTCGGTGCTGGGTCAGGCAGCAACCCTCGCTGGCAAAGTCCTGTGGGCCTTCCCACCCAAGGATTTGGTCGGGGAGGTGCTGCTCGAGATTGTGGCGGCTGTGAGGCTCGACCGGAGCACACAGGCGACTGTCGTCGTGCCAAACTGGCCAGAGTGCTCATGGTTTCGACCTTCATCGTGGGCACCGGGCAAGGGGCAACCCCGTATGTGGTATTGGCTGTCCTGCCCAAGGGCCGACGGCACTGCCTTTTCCGGTGGGGGGCCGAGGCCGCGCCCAGCGAGTACGACTTGATTGTGCTCAGGCTCAATTAGATTGCCCCGCACCCCCTTGGCCAGTGCCGGCAGGCGGTCTCCAGGAGGAGGGAAGCTGCTCCGTCTGCGGGCGTTGCTGCGGAGCTGGGGATCTGCACTGTGAGGCCTGCCCCTGCTCGGCTCATCATCGGTGCCTTGGAATCGCCCCAGGCGCCTACCCCGGTGGTTGGTACCGCTGCACCACTTGCTTGCTTGCGGCAGCGGGTATCGGATCAGTGGCCCAGGGGAGTGTTACGGAGGAACTAGCACAGCTAGCCGTGGTGTTACACGGCAGCGCGGTCGCAGACAGCTCTTCGGTCACGTACGAGTTGGGGCGGCGGTGCTTTGTACGCTTCTGCGTGGAGGTCGCAGGGGTGCCGGAGGCGGACGCCCTGCCCCGCCAGCGTGGGTCTGACCTCAATCGGGACCTGGTGTGTCTGTTCATAGCGCATGCAGTTGGCCGGTACGCAACCTCCACCGTCACCGGCACGCTGAGCACCCTGGCGGACTGGCAGCGGTTCATGGGAGTCTCGCCAGAGGCATATATCAGCCGCGACCCGCTGGTCAAGCGAACCCTGGGCCAAGCGTTGCGGAGGACTGCTGCGGGGCCAGAGTCAGCACCGTCCATGGCAAAGGCACCCCTGCCCCTGGGGGTGCTGAGGCTGCTCGTGGTGTGGCTATGGTGCAGGGCAAATGCGGAGCCGTGGAGGGTGACAGAGTTCACCCAGGACGCCTGCTGGCTGGTTTTGGGGTTTTTCGGGATGCACCGGAGGAGCGAGTTGGCAGCCCTGACAGTGGGCTGCGTTGAGGAGTTGCCGGGAGGGGGTGTGGGGCTGCAGATCGTACGTAGCAAGACGGACCAGAAGGGAGCGGGGACGTTGGTGTGCCTGGCAGCACTCACCCAGAGCGGCTTCCCCATCGCTCGCATAGTACAGCGGCACCTGGAGTGCGTGTGGACGGCCGAGGGTCACTCCCCGCTCTTTGTACGGGGAATCACTGGGCCGGGCAAGCAGGGCATGGCGTGGCGGTGCGGGGATTTCACTGGTAGGCTGCACGTGTTGCTGGGTGAGTTGCAGGGGTACGAGCCAGAGTTGAGGCTAGATCTCGCTAGGATATCGGCCCACAGCTTGCGCAAGGGGGGGGCCACCGCGGCTGCCAATGCTGGGGCGGGTCTGGAGGAGGTCTGATGCAGTGCTGGTCTACATCCGCCGGTCCGTTGCTGTGAGGCGGACAGTGGTGGAGCGAATGTGACGCGACTGGGTGAGGGGGGATGTTTCGCTGGTTTAGGCGTGGGACCGAAGTAACCCAAGCGAGGCCGTCGGCTGCCTGCTGGTTACCAATACGGAAGAGCACGGTAGCCCGGAAGGGCCGCACGAAGTAGCATGCGGGCTCTGGCAGGCAGGCTGGGCGTCTCTTCTCCCCAACCATATGTCCACGTCCCCGGTGCCTTGTTCTTATTAGTTGTACTGTAACGAACGCGTTTTGGGTTTCTCGTCCCGGTTCTTGGTCTGGCTAGCTGCTCAGCCCGGATTCAAACCACCTAGTCGTATTCAAAGTGACCATTGTAATCCAGCACACACAGGCCATCGGAGGCCTCGGTGGCATTGTGTGCCACTTTGGCTGCAAAGTTTTCTACATGCTTGCTGCGTGGAGTGTAACACACGTCTTTCATGCTGGCCACCGACACTTGCTCAGATAGCTTTCCAACGCTGCTGAGCATGATATGTGTTGCCCACCCCCAACAGCAGGCAAGCACGGCCCTGTGGTTTTTCCGTATTTAGGCTGCCCGGCCGCTAATCAGATGGCAACCTGTTGGACCCCGCCGCTGTGTCATCTTGCCCCTCGCCTGCCCCCCTCATCCTCCACGATTGCCAGGAACAGCTATGAGTCCTCTTCCCTTTCTACACGCTCTCTACTGACTCCATTTGCCTCCCCTCTTCCCCTGATATGCCCGGGATTGCTTACCTCCCCCTTAATCCGTTCATCTTCCCTACTGGGTCTCCCCTCTCTCCTCTCCCCTACGGCAGTGATCCGTTGGCGGCCTACACATCTGCACCTCGCCCTGCAGCCCCAGCCCCTGCACCCGGACCCATGCCTCCCGGTAGGCCCCAGTGTGCAACGGTCACTTGTGGTTTCGGAGGAAGGCTTCTGATGCGTCCATGGGCCTAACTGTTACCTTGCTGTTCCTGCTATGCCACCATACTGATAAACCTGTGGTGAACCAAGCTGCCCCCCCGTCATGAACTATTTTCCGAACCCTTCCGGATCTGCACGTCATCGGGATGAGAGCAGTCGCACCTAGTGTACGACATGTACTAGGGTTCTAGGGTTTCCGTCCACAGCACCTTGCTCTTACCAAAAGACTGCACATGTGCCATGTAATGTGTGTCCTGAGAAAGGTGATGATGCTGCGGCTGAGGTGGATTTTTGCTTTCTTTCTGCTTAGTGTCAAAATGTTGAAACGTGCCTCAATAACTTCTTTCACTCTGGCTCTGCCAAAATGCCGAATAGCTGATATGTCCTTGTCGAGCCCCAGGTCCAGGTCCCCGGCTCGGACCTGCACGTGGCGGGACACACAAATGCCATATCACTCACCGCAACTCTGTCGTTCCCTTTGGTCGTTAGTATCCTTCATCACTTGTCTCGTTGGAAGTGCGAGGTAGGATGGTGCTTATAGGCGATTTGGCAGCCCTTGAGCCCTCGGCTCGTACTAGGGTGGTTTGCAGGTACAGGGAACGCACCCACGACCATGTAACAACAACAACAATATCACTCCTGGGAGGGGCAGCAGCGCCGGCGGCAGGGGATTTCATGGCTGGGGCTCCCCTGCACTGCCCATGCCAGCCCAAGCACAATCCCGGCCAACCCATGTGAATGGCCGGGGCCCCGGTGGTGGTGGTGGCGGCCACTGGCCTCCCCACCCTTCCACCACCGGGACGAGTTACAAGCTGCATGCCACGCCAAGGGGTTATGGCCACGGAGGCTGGGAGCACCAACAGCAGCTGTATTATCAGTCGCTGTCACCCGGGCCTGGGGCCGCTTACCCAGGGGAGGGTACGGTGGCAGTGTTGGCCATCGAGGGGGATGGCATGGCAGCGGCGGCCATAGTGGCCTCCAGCCAAATAAATGGGTACGGACGGAGGCAGCGGCGCCAGCTGCACCGGCACCAGAAGGCCCAGTCGCAACGGCAGTGGCGCCAGTGCCAGTGACCCCGGGGGTGGCGGGGCAGGGCCGGCCATTTGCTAGAAGGGGTGATGGCGGCTGGGGTTGTGGCGGCAGTGGCGGCTGGGGCCGAGGCCGTGGAGGCAGCAATGACGACAACACTACGCCAGCGGCAATGCAGGCGTACTACAAACCGTCATTCGGTGCTGACCCCTGGGCGGCTCTGACACCGTGGCCGATGCAGCCAAGAATGCCGGGCCAAGTGGCGGTAAGGCGGCCGCTCCTGGGGCCCCACTGACTGTGGATATAAGGAAGCTGGGGGGAGCGAGCTTGGCCGAGATGGCTATGGAGAAGGCGGCGGCGGACGGAGCCGTGGCGGAGGGGATGATGGTGGGGCGGTTGTGGGTTCGGAGGGCATGGAGGATGAGGGGGGTACAGCAGTTTACAGCGGTTTTGATGGAGGCGGCGGAGCAGATGAACCGCCTGAGGACAATGACAACGATGAAGTCGGGAATGGGGATGGTGACAGGGAAGAGGGAGTTGAGATAGGGCTTGAAGGGCAGGGGACGGGCGTGGAGGAGGAGGGGGACGGTGATGCTGGTGGCCGGCTTAGCAAAGAGGGTGTGCAGGATCGGCCGTGGCATTGAGGAGGAATGGGGAGGAGGAGAGGAGGGTTAGAGGCGTTACAAACACGTTTTTAAAGTAGCTTGTTGGAAACGGTGCTCCATATCCAAGGCCTAGATCATTTGCCGAAGTGAGAAAGTAGGGAGCTATCCAGTGTGAGTTGTGCAAATCCACGTGTAGTATACTTCAGATGACACAACCATAGATGGTATCGAAAGATACCGGTTGAGACAAGTGGAAAGGATAAATAGTCGTTGTAGAATCCACTTGGGCCTCGTGCAGATAAGTTCCCAGTACGACTGGGCGGTGCAATGTTCGGTTGACCATAGTTCACAGGAACTACTCTCGCCCGGTGAAGCAGACGAACCAGGAACGCAGGTTCCAGCTTTAAGCAGGTAAAGCCCCCGCCCATACGCCGGTATGGACTTCCGACTTCCGCAGCAGTGAGGCATTTGGATGGCGAACTCGACTAGCAGTAGTCGCAAGCCGCCAATAAACTAATATCAGTATTAGTTTAACCTGTTATCAGCGATAGCGGATACAAACAGGTGTTAGTTAATAACAACAGTGTTAACGTTAGGACTGAGCCTAGAGCTTGACAGTAAGCATACAGGATACAACACCACGACAGAGCTCCCACGGTAACATACATAGGGGTGTGGGCAGAAAGAAGTGGTGCAGCAGTACGGCATGTCGTACAGAAGGATGGAATGGAACAAGAAGGTGCCGAGAGAGAGAGATAAAGGAAGCACTGCATGGTCTCTGGGTGTTGCCTCTCGCTTTGCTGAGGTGGATAGGAGCACAGCACCATGTCAAGGTGGATGACGATCAAATGATGTTCAAGATAGGTAGATGGATGGATTCTATATATGCATGCCGATGGCGTACGAGAAAGAAGTTTGGAACCTGTACCACACCGTACCATTCACGAATCTTATATGGTTATAGCGGAGACTTATCCAAAATGTGGGCAGAGAAGGCGAGGTCAGGGACCTGATTGAGTCGACCTGAGCACCGGACTGAGACTTCAAAAGCGACGGATGTTACGTTACCATACCAAACTCTTTGTATTATTCCTATGCAACCAAGCAATAATTAACTAATCCTTGCCGAATCCATGTCGTGTCATATCGCACAACATTAAGATACCCGCAATCGTTTAAGGATCCTCCGGGCATTTCAACCATCCTTAAGACCCTTCCCTTTTAACAAACACTGCCAAAGACTTCTTGTAACTCGACGTCACACACGTCGCAACCAAATGTACACACACAGATACACACTCGACACACGCACACACACATACGAAAAGGGAAAAACGCAAACACCAGTATGCACGTGCACGTGAACAGGATCTATGCCTAGCCTGTTAACAGCCGGCGCCCAGGCCCGCTCGACAACAACACGAGCCCCCAATCACTCAATGAAACAAAGCAACTCACCACGCAATCAACTTAACTGAACAGGTCTTCCAAGGAAATAAAGTGAAGAGCAGATTAAATCCGCATAGACGCGCGCCACGGCTCCTACGCGGCTCCTACTACAACTGCTAGCTAACGGAATTCCATCCATTTCCAGCCACACATTTGTGCCTCCTGTTTGCTGCCGCAACGAAATCCACTATCTAACCCTAACCCTACCTCACCCACCATCCCCATCCCCCCTCTATCCAAGCTTTCAACAGGGGTTCTCACGGCCCGGTCCAGAATCAATTAACTTACTGTCTTTTACTGGAGCCAACGGCACAAATGACCCCCTAGCACCATCACCACCATCACCACCACAACCCCCCTCCCGGGCCCCGGGCCTCCCCTGGACCCACAACCGGTCCTGTCCGGATTTTGTCGGGATGTCTAACTCCGAGCCGGAGATTTAATGCTGTCCTTTATACTAATTATTTTCTCCAAACCATTTCCTTTTCGACCCGCCACGCAACGCATGCTGCCCGGCAGCAGCAGCAGCAACAACAACAACATGCTGTCACGCCATACTCTTTCATCCCTCCCCCCTCCCATCCTTTCTCCCACCATCATCACATCATCACAGGCTTTCCGGACAGCACAAAGCACAGGAGGCAACACACTGAGGAAAGAGCACCAGCAGCAGCAGCAGCAGCAGGCAGCGGGACAGCGCCAGTAACGGTCCATGTCATCGTAATCAGCAGCAGCCGAACTGCAGACATGGCGCCTTAGAGTCCCGGGCCCACTGGCGGTCGGCGGTTCGAGCCTGAGCTTCGGCGCTGTGGCAGCTGCGGGTGAAGCGCATCTTCGTGGCACTCAGGCGCTCAGGATGTTCTGTACGGGGTCGGAAACAAACACGTCGTGCATAAGATGAAATAAATGAACTATAATAGTTCCGTAAGCGGGTTGTGCTGCAGATGCACCTGCACCGCAAGCTACGTGAGTTGCGGGGAGGTTTGGGAAAAGGCAACGGGGATGAGTTGGGTACATTCATGGTATGGGGGAGTGATGATGCAAGAAAGGAAGTCCCCAGCGCTTTAAGGTCGGCTGTTTGCGGGAGGGGGAAGACGATCCATGACAAAGTAAAGTTGATGCCAAGATAGACTTCGTCTCGATGCCGCTCCACGCATGGACGGGACAGGCGATGCGCGACGACACGCCAGCCTGGGCTTACAGCTGCGGGTGACTTGGGGATGATATGAGTCATCTGTTGCTCCTGCCTTGAGGTTCAGAAAAGCTTGACCCAACGGCAAACAGCGCGCGAAATGTTTTTGGTCAACTATTACAAATTTGCGTTATCAGGACTACGTATTAAATACGAAACGGAACAGGAGATTGTATTAATAACGCCCTAGTGGCTCGGATAATTCTACATACTATTTCTTGCCCTACAAATAACCTATTACATAGATGGAGTATCGCATACTCAGTACGGCAACAGTCAGTTACTGTCACATGACAGCAATTTGGCGCCTCCTGGCGACAACGCGTCACACATGCACGTCTTCACGCGCCGACGAGAACGGTAGCGTCCCATGGCAGCACAAAATAAACTGCCTCTGGTTGTGTCAAGGCCGAGGCTCCGAAAACAACACCTTTGCATTATTTAATTGTGTCAAGCTATAAAAGGGGAAGATCAAGAAAGTAAGACGTAACTATTTTCCGGCTTGACTCAGGAAAAAGAAACCGGCAACTACCAAGAAATCCAGATCTGCCGTACACCTTACGCGAACAATTCATCCTATTTATGTGCGCAAAACCTTTGCAATGTGCACGGGTGCTTTCCACCAGGATCTCTCTCCGAAGCCCTTGGCCGATCGAAACTGCGCGGCCTTTGCAAGCGATACAAAAACATATGTTGCTCATAGGCACCGAGCAAGCGCGTAACCGTACGACAAGAGTGTGAATCAATCGAGTAACCTATCATCTAAGGCTAGATGCGCCCGTAAGACACAGAACATACAACTATGCACAGACATATAGTGGGAAAGCATAATCCGCAATTGTGTGACCGGTTTTCTCTTGATGCATGTTGGTTTCGGCATATAGAGTACGCCTGGCGTGCCCCCTTGTACACAGAAGCCGCTAGCGGACGAAACATGTATGACCCAATATAAGAAGCTTGGCAGCGCCAGCCTCTGATGTTGATCAGGGGGAGCCCAACGACCTGACAACCTAAAAGGACAAGAATTAACTTTTTAGGCGACACCGGAAGACAAAGGAAACCTAAAGTAAATCTCTATTTAGTCTGTCAGTAGGCAATCAATCCTGGTTTTATCCTCATTAAACCTAACCATAAAGCCAACCTGGGCACAGCGTGGAAAGTAAAAGCTGTAGGAGTTCCTATCCAAAAGAGGTGCGCAAGATGTTGTCCCAGGATAGCGACAAGACGCAACAGCCGCGCGCAAAGATGGTTCTGCTGCTGCGACAATTTGCTCTCGCTTATCCATAAAGTTTTTCCTGTTTAAAGACTCTAAATCTACGGCTAAGTAAAAAGATGTAAGAGACCCATGGCCAAAATGGGCAGGCGCCGAGCTGGACTCCAAAGCTCCGCGTAGCTTGTTGCATGAAGCAACGCAACGCAAAGCAGCAGCCAGTCCTGACCGTAAGACGATATAATAAAGGCCTTCGCCTTCCTTAAGAAAACTTGATTCGCGCTATGTACCCTAAGCAGCTGTCGCCTTTTTGCAAATGCATTGTCACTATTTTCTTAACCAAACCATCTCCATAAAACATCCTCAGCCACTATTTGGTGTAGTAAGGTACTTTTTTTAAAAGCTGGGACACATCAATGCCCCTGCTCCTATGACAGTAACACAGCAGAAAGCAAGGAATTCATGTCTTGTTGGCCAGAGAACGCATCTGCTGTAGCCGCGGTCGCCGCGGAGACTGACGGCGGTGCCGGCGCAAGCATCGCCGCTGCCGCCAAGCTCTCCAGGAGTGCCTGCTCGGCAGCGAGCGCGGCCTGACCCCCACCAGCTGCTGCAGCGGCGGCAGCAGCGGACGTCGCCGGCGTCGGCAAACCCTGGCACCAAAGCATCTGCGCCGCGGCCATGGCATCTGTAGTCAGGTCCCTCGAGTTGCAGTAGCTGTTACCATCAAGCAAACCGGACGATGAGGCCGATGGCGCCGACGGAACGCCGACGGCGCCGTACGGATTGAGCCCTGCAGCCGCTGCGGCCGCTGCCGTGGCATGAGGGAAAAGCTCCGGAGTGGCCGCCAAGCCTTCAGCCCAAGAAGGGCGGGCGGCAGCGGAGGAGGCGTCGACGGGGCCCCTAAGCGAGAGGGCCTGGAAAAAGTTTGGCGGTTGGGATCCGTTGGAAAGGTTGCCTAGGCAGGCCGGGCCGTTGATTGCGATGGCTTGCATGAGGATGTTATTTGCGAGGTCGTTCAGCGCGCCAGCCGCTGAACCACCCGCACCTGCCCGCACTGCCGCCTGAGCGCAAAAACTTGCAAATTCCGGATCCTGTTGGTGCACCTGCGAAAGCTGGCCCGGGACATTTGCTGTTGGAGCTAGCGCTCCTGGATTGAAGCCGCCGCCACCGCCGGCGGCAGTAGCGCCAGGGCCGGGCTGTAGTAGCAGTAGCCATGGCAGGAGCCCCGCGGTCGTCTCCGCGGCCGTATTCCAGGTGTTCCGGCTAAGGTGCGGGCTGTGGGCATTTTGTTGCAGAGGAGGAAAGCAGCATAAGACAAAACAGGTAATAAATAAAAACAGCGCATGTACACACAAAAGGGGAAAGAGAGGGAAAGTAAGTCGACAAAGGACACCTGTAATGTGCAAACCATTAACTCGATAGAACTTTTTAAATATTAAACAGGCGTAGCGTTCCATATCAGGATAGCCCAGGTGTTTTGAGCTCTGCGCCGCAACCATACCATTAAAATTACCTGTCAGCTGGCAGTCGCTTGTAACGCAGCAGCAGTGGGCTTGAGCCCGTCAGGCTTGGTACCGGCCGTCCACCGAGAGCCAGTTTGGCAGCCTCGGCGCTCTTTCAAGGGCAGGGAGGACAGAGAATAATATTACGGACGGCAAACATTTCAATGCATGACTCATGCATGACTCATACTGTCGCAAGACAACCTAAACATTGAAGGAGAGTCAAACGTATTAAAACAAAGTAATTATTTTCTATATGCGAAGCGGCAGTATAACGTGACACAACAATGTCACGTAATACGTGCCAAGCAAAAGACAATCGCCAGCTCACGCCGCTTGCAGGGGGCAAGTTCATCAGTGTGATACATGTAATACATGTGATACATGATACAAGAGAAAATTAAAGCTTGCTGTGACAGTAGCTGGTACCTGTGGTGACTTAAAATTGACGAAGGCGTAGTTCTTGGCTGGGAAGATGCGAACAGATTCCACAGCACCAAAACGCCTGCAATTTGGCAGCATATCGTTAAATAGATTCGGAACAATGAAATCTTTACGCATAGCCTCAGACAAGAAGCTGGGGACCTGGCAGTCCATAAGGCATCTTTGCGATCTCGCATCTGCCTCACAAAATAAAATGTTTACAATAATACAACTGACAATAATTCATGTTCACAACTAGAGGCATACTAAATACCTGCCCGCCCGGGACACACAGTAAAGCACACTTACGAAAAGACTGGCTCAAGGTCCTGTTGCTTGGCGCTGGACAGAATGTTGCCCAGCCACAAGTGCCGGCAAGGCTCAAGGTCGTAGGAGGAAGAACCAGATCCAGAACCAGAACCAGATCCAGCTGCAAGACCAGCTCCAGCTGGCATGGAAGATGAAGCATGCGCCGTGGACGAGGACGTCACGCCTACCACAGCGGCAGCGCTACTGCCACCGCTGCCTGATCCTCGACGCTCCCCACCACTGCTAGGCGGCACATGGTCGCCACCGCCACCGGCGCCGGCGCTGCCGCCGCCGCCGCTGGCTCCAGCCAAGCCCACCGCCATCTGCGGTCCGCCTTTGCCGCCACCATGCCCGCTGTGCCGTACAGCAGAGGAAGCAGCAGCAGCAGCAGCACTGCCGCCGGCGGCAGCACCGGCGGTGGCGGCGGCGGCAAGCTGGTTCTGGAGCTGATGCTGATTCTGTGAGTGTGCCGTACGGTCGCCCGATGCCATGATGTGAGATTGTGGCTGAGTTATGCCGGAATGGTGACATGGGGGACCAGCCAGTTGCCGACGATGCTGAAATCGGACCTCTAGAGCCCTCGAGCCGGACAGCGAGGGCACCGTCTGGCCACGCAACGCTGTCCTCGCGGCAACCGCGTGCTGCATTTAGGATTTAGATTTCATCAATATTAATTTTTCAATTTATTATTAAAAAATAATTATTTTAACTGTGAGTGGATTAGTTATTGAAAAGCGCGGGAAAAGGAAGCCAGGAAACAAGCAAAGCAAGAGACATATCTCGCCATTTAAGATGCAGCGACTGTCCGAATCGCATGATTAATGTCATTCGTCATAAAACGGAAACAGCTAAAATCAACTCTGATTGTGAGGACTGCGATATGGGAGTATTGGGCCTTGTTACTCGGCTTGGCTTGGCTTGGCTTGGGTGGAAATCGTAGGGAATACAGTATCAATCATGTATTCCTGCTATAGCCGTAAAGGGCCGTCAGGCAAGCATGCGTCTACGGCTATATAGGGCAGGAAACGGCAGAATACGTTGAGGCGTGTCGGTCCCATTCCTCCTCGTGCACATGAGGAATCCTGGCTTACTTCTAAGGAGATGTAGTTGACAAACGCAAAGTGCTTGTCAGGAAAGACACGAGTGGAGTCCAGGGGCCCGAAACGGCTGAAGGTGCACTCCACCGCCGCGCGATCCACGTTTTGCAAGATATTTCCAAGCCAAAGGTGACGACTAGGCACGTCAGCAGCTGCCGGCGCCGCCGGCGCTGGCAGCACCGTCGCCGCCGCCGCCGTCGACTGCTGCCGCTGCTGCTGCTGCTGCTGCTGCTGCTGCTGCTGCTGCTGCTGCTGCTGCTGCTGAGCAATAGGAACAGCTGCAGCAGCACCACCACTGGCAGCCGATGCGTCCACGAATTTGACGGCGGCCTCAGTCGTTGGTACACCGGCGGCCCAGTCGCTGTGGTTCACGGCAGTGCGAGCAGCGCCGGCGCCGGCAGCAGCAGGAGCACCAGGAGTAGCACCAGCGGCGGCGGTGGCGGCGGCGGCGGCGGTAGGGACTCTCCCAAGAGCGATGCTGCCACTGCCGCCGCCCAGGCCGTCGGGCCTTGCTGCAGTATCGGCCGGAGGCGCCAAGTCCAAAGCGCATCCTCCACCGTCACCGCCACCGTTGGCGAGAACGTGATGAGAAATAGCAGTAGCAGTAGGGATAGCAGTAGCAGTAGCAGCAGTGGCGGTGCTGACTGTCGTCTCTGTGATGGTGCCTACTGTGAGGCCGTGTAACAACACCAAGCGACCAGGAAAATGAGCATGCAGGACACGCGGGATCAGCCGTTTGCGTTGGGCTAGCTAAGTAAATCTAGGTGGTCGCACGCCTATCTATCTAAGTGGATAGATATCGTTTTGACCGAGCAACTAAGCCACTACAGGACCGAGAACGATGAATGAGGGGTAGGAATGACCAAATGATGAGGGCCGAAGCAAAGGAGAGACCTAGGATATGTCCTTCTCGAAGGGCCCCCGACTAGAGGATTGAGGAGATCTCGCAGTATAAAAAAGCAAACGGCCGAGAGAAATAAGGAATCCCGTACAAGTCCAGTCCAGGCTAAGGGCCCGGACCAAAGAAAAAGTGATCTCCCATGGGGCCCAGGACTCGGTATTCAGCAAGCCAAAAACTGAAAGGCAACAAGTCCCGGTGTTAAAAACTCACCAGTAGCAGCAGCAGGTACGGCAGGTACGGCAGCAGGAACGGCAGCAGGAACGGCAGCAACGGCTGTGGCGGAAGACTGTTGTCGAGACTCCAATGCCAAGCACATGGCCTTAAGGTCTTGTGAGTGCTGGAAACCCAGCCTAAGTGGTTTGGTGCTGGCCAGAGACGGAACCATCTGCCCGTCCAGCGCAGCCTTGGCGGCCGCGGCATCCTGTCATGCATCACACAGGAGCGCAAAATAATAAAAAGGAAATATAATATGCTTGGATTTTGTTTTGCTATAGGTGGTTGCGGGTACTGGTTTGCGGGCATCGTCATGGGACTGGGGTAAGGAGCTGGGGCAACTAGTAGAGACCCGAAAACGCAGTTTTAAATTTGAGTTTCAATTTGATTGACGTCACAGGGGATCGCTCCGATCGATTGGATTGCTGCCGGGGTGCCGGGGCAGCGGCCCCCTATCCCGACAAACACAGACACACCGTACAGGCCAGGAGAAGCCCTAGCTAGGAGGTGTGCCCTAGATTGCTGGGATTGATCGGGCTTGTATTTGATGAGCACCAGGCGATGGTGGTGGTGATGCTGAAATCATGCTGCTGCTGCTGCTGCTGCTGCTGCTGCTGCTGCTGCTGCTGCTGCGGACGCAGTGACGGTGTCTAAAAAGGTTTCGAAAAGCTTAAAAATGAAGATCCAGTAAGGAATACCCGCAAAATGGTTATAGAAAGTCATGAAGTAACGCTCACCTCTGCGGATAGGAAGCTGGCAAAGGCAACGCCGCGTTCGGGGAAAACACACACGCCATCCAGCGAGCCAAACGGCCTGCAGCGGTACGAAAACCGGAGGCGGTGTGGCAATGGAGAGGCACTATGGAGAAGGCGGCGGGCAGTACGGCAACTGGCAGGTCGGCAATTGGGGCAACCCATTTCTGCCTTCCCATCGCTGCTGCCGGTGGTGTTTTGCTCCAGAACCAAGGGGTTGTGGAGAAATGGAAACAAGGTCCGGAAGGCATTGCTGTTGACCAGGCTCGGCTAAGCAGCTTATCAAAGGGGTTGATCACAGTTGACAATGCCCGGTGAAGATTAAGGCTGTTTGCAGTTGTAACGCCACAAAAATATGATTTTACTTTACAGGACGCTAAACAAAGATATATATATATAAGAGAACTAGCTAGGTAGCTGTCCTTGCTTGCCCGCCCTAATCGACGTAACGGCAAGGTACGGCACTTACGAGAGGAGGGCCTCAATCTCGTACCGGTCCACGCTACGCTCAAAGTTGCCCAGCCAAAGGGTGTTGGACACGCAATTGGCGGTGCGTGAAGCGCAGGAAATGGCGCCACTGCCAACTCCGACAGAGACACCGATGCCGGGTCCGACGCTGACACCGCCACCGCCGGCACCGCCGCCGCCGCCGGCACCGCCGTACAACATCTCCGCTGTATCGAGGCAATCGGAAGCATCCAGGGAGGTGCTCGTGCCGCTGCTGCCCTGGCGTCGTACACTTCGCCAAGTCTCCACCGTTGCAGCGTCATCGCTTTCCGGTCGGCTGCTGCTGGTGCTTGTACGGCTTGCACGACTGCTAGTGCTTCCCTCGTCGTCGCAGCATGCGACACGCTGCGGCTGCATGGGTGCCGATGGCCAGGACACCGCCGCCGTGGCGGCGGCGCCGACACCGCCGCCTCCGCGCGGCGGCGGCGGTGGTGCAGAACCAAGGGGCCCGTGGGAGATGGTGGCAGTTGCGACGTACGACGACTCTTTGGAAGCAATGGTGGTGGTGGGATTTGTGTTGGTTGTACAGTTGGCGGTTATGCCGTTAGGCGCGTTGGGGTGAAGGAAGCAAATCTCCAAGGGCCGGTTGCCGGTAAGGATTGCGATCCGGACACCTGAAAGGGAGGCCCTAGCGGCCTCGGCGCACTGTATTGAGGGAAGGCGGCAGGGAGGGTGGTAGGAAAGGCGGCTGGGTAGGTGCCACGAAGAAGTGCAACGGCGAATACGGAAGGCGGCAGAAGACGAAAGAAGATGCCAACGTACCGCGGCAGGTTCGGTGCAGGCGATGAGGGTGCGTGGGCGGGATGGGTCTGTGTGCATGTGTACGACTGAACGGACGAAAAAAGCAGGATGCTTGAGGACGAAAAAATCCAGAAAAAAATCCAGGTAAAATCCAGGTAATATCCAGGTAAAAATCCAGGGACAGCAAGACAGGAGGCGAGAAGAAGCAGGGGCAGGGATGATGGCTGCTGCTGCTGGTACGTCTTCTGCTCTCTCTGGTCCTGTTTTTGCTGCTGCTGTGAGTGCTGTTTTTACTCTGCTGCTTCACAGCTCCGTTGATACAAAAAAGCGAAAGCGAAGGCAGAAGCGCGAAGGCCGGCACCACCAGGCGGTGCCATCAGCATGAACTTCGAAGGCGAATACCGCTGTTCACACGGCTGACGTAAACTACGAACCGCTGCAGAGAGGCGAAATGGACGAAAACGTCCTGTCTCGTTACACGACCTGTCGTACCATAGTAGACGAGTAATTGAGTACGGCACAGCCCTTGTCGTGGAACAGCTGGATGGACTCCAAGGGACCATAGCAACTGCGGAAGAAGCGCAAGGACACATGGAAGCGAGTGGCACTAAAGAGATTGGTGGTGGTGCTTCGACTGGCTCCACATCGGGTGGCAATGAACTTGTGATGCCCTTTAAACGGTTACAGGCAAGGGATGGCACAGGAAGGGAAAAAATTCCAAAAACCTGTCGCGTGCTGCGCAGCTTCTCGGCCAAGAGTGTCACACTTATCGGAGCCAAATTAAGAAGACATTAAAAAAATCGCCTTCTTGGTAAGAGAAGAGCAAAGAGGAGAGTAACCTGAAAGATGTAAGGAAAACGCATTCCTGGCATCTTAAATAGTTTTCATGTAATAGGTATGGAAAAATATTCTGTTTATAAAAAACAACAGTTTTAAAAGCGAACAGAAGTCGTAATTTATTAAACTGCTGTGTCGAACTTGCGAATCGTCGCGATGTGCTCGCTACTTTGGAACTTTTAGCTGCTTTCGGCTACCGACAAAGCAGCAACCCACCATCATGACCAGCCGTGCGACGAAAATATGGCTACTTACGCGAAGAGCTGCTCTAGGGCTTGTTGATCTGTCGTCCAGGTAATGTTACTGAGCAAGAGGTGGCGGCTGGGGATGCTGCAGGATAGACATCCACCATCAAGGCCGCGGCTGTTGTTGTTGCTGTTGTTGCTGTTGGTATTACTGTTATTGTTATTGTATCCGCAATTGCCACCGCTGGGAACAAGCTGTTTTCCGTTAGAGGTCGGACAAGTGCGGCTGACAAGGCCTGGGGAAGCCTCGTCGCCATATGCGCGAAGGTTCGGACCGGACCTCTGGAATGTTGAAGGGCCGGAGCCTTCCCCACAGGTGTCCTGGAAACACATCATGGGGATTTGGCCTCTTGCTAAAACAAGTAGAGATCTTTTTTACGCAATATTCCTGCAGCAGGGGCAGCAAAAGCGGCGGACGTTCAGTCTTACGGAAAATCGTTGCGAGACCGCGACCAGCATTACGGATTCAGAAGGACACTGCTTGCCAGATGAAAAATAATCAACTTTAAAGATGTTGTGTGTGAGTCGCCTTGCTTCTCGCATTCTTCACAAAGAAATGCAGAGCTGCAGGGTGCCAGCGTCCTCCGCCGCACCTGGCCCAAGACAATACGTTGATGCAAAGCCCTTGTTCTGTCTGGTCTACAAAATATTCCAGCCTTGAAGCGTTGGAGGTCTTACCACCAGGCTGTGGCTTGTCGGTGCTGTTGGATGTCAGCGATGTCCCTCCGCTTTCGGCCTGCGCAAGGCAAGCGGAACACAGCCGTGAACCTGATGGAATGTAAATTAACCTTGTTTTGTGCAAAGCGTCAGCGCCTTGCACAAATGTTGACTTTGGGCGCCCTTAGCCATGGCGGATTGTAAAAGAGCGCCCTCACATTGACACCCATTTCATGATAATCACCCACCTGGAAAATCACCTAAGCGTCACTGTTGATTTGTGACAATTTCGAGGACGACTTTATGCACCCGACGGCTTGGCGCTCGATCCTCAGAAATGGTTTCGGCGCTGTGCTCAGACGCCAGTACTCCACAACGCTTTCTTAATTACAGCCGCAGGATGATAACACTCACAAATTATGATTTTTTGGTATTAGTTTTTAATGATATGAGACTATGGTTGAGCTTATGGTCTTAACGCAGCAAGAAGCAATCTTAAGGCTTTTTGATCAAAAATCTGAAGTATGATTTTCTCTATACAACTTGGCCTGTACGGGTAGCTTGTAATACCAAACGGCTCATATGTTAGCGACCGCGCAGCCGGTTAGTTACTACGGTTATAAACGACCAGCGTTGCGGTGGAAATATGTCAGCAGCTTGTGCCAAGTATAACTACTTTAGCCAAAATATGGAGGCATTTAATTTCGACATAATCAGCCATGAAAATATGCTTTCGGGAGCAAACAAATCTCGGTCGAAGACGAATCGCTTGCAGTACGGATGCTGTAGCCTTACAAATCCTATCGTTAAGATCATCGTGCGTTGGTCGTTTCACCTCAAACTGCTCCCTAACGTTAAGCGCCTTCCACCAGGCCAAGTCACTTACTTCACATGTTTCAGCCTTAGTTGGGGGGATGCTGGAATGTTGGAAACAGAGGAACACGGCCGTCGTGTGTTCTCCCGGATTGACCAGGTAGCTTGATTAGGTTTGCCGTCAGAAAGACTGGGGCGCATTTAAAACATAACCGCAAACTGTCATGCGGATAATGTTAATTCCCCGGCATTGCTAAAGCTGGTATAAATATTTTGCAATATGCAGCATTGCAGTGGAACAAAATCCCTCAACCCCGCGCAAGGTGCTTGGCGCCCTTGAAGTATTCTTTTCCCAACCGGCATGGGAAGGTATATTTCACGGATTTTTCACAAAATACCCGGCTCGCGTTTTATATGGCCACGTATACATTGAGCTTTACTTACTGCATGAACGGACGAACAGGACGATTAGGACAACGTCGTTAAAGAGAAGCCATAATGTTTTGTAAAAACGACTGCATGGGTCCCCTGATTCAGGACCTCAATATTAACAATATGCCTCCTTTAATCGGAGGGTCTGTCGGAGGGAAAGGTGTTGCGAGTGATCCAGCGACGTAACGGCGAGAGGTTTTGAACCTGCAAAACCATGCTGCTTAAATGTATAGTGTTTACATGGCTGAAAAAATAATCATATATTTCTTTTAAACATGATTTCGTAGAGGTATGGATTTGCTAAAAAGGAGTAGGGGTCGTCGTTTTTCGCGCGAAAATGGCGACTGAGATGAAGCGAGCCTATGCAATAGAGTCTTCCCTCTCCTAACCCAATAATGGAAGACCGCCTGTCCCGCGTCGTTTTATAAAATATGTTTTAATATATTCTCCTAACAGAGATAATGGAACGCGCACGAACGCGCCACCCTAACCAGCCCTAACGAAAGCGAGGCAGATATTTCCTGAAAACGATAAAAATGCGCTACGCATCCAGCTGGGCATTATGAAGCGCCCATGTAGGTCATTATCTGACACGACGGATTATCTGACATGAAGTGAGGCGCACCTTCACTTCCTTGGCCCCTCGGATGAGAGCTTGGAGACCGCCCCTGAACACGCAAGATACCTCTGATGACCACACCCCTTACCAAGCCGGCAAAGACCAACATATTTCCTCCGTCAGGCACCTTGCGCACTCGGTGCCTTTAGGCACCTTACGCATGCTCACTTAGCCAGCGGTCTCGTCTCGTCTCGTCTCCCCACGCCTCGCCTCGCCTCGCCTCTTCTAGAAACGCCATCCGAGGAGCAGTACGTGTGTTGGATCACTTACTTTGCCGTACACATATACGCACATACATACATACGTACACATATGCACCCCATTCGCTAATCTCACGACGGACCTCCGAGCATTGCAATGGTTGCAAGGGTTGCTCTCCTCTGCCGGGATCCCCCACGAGAGCGCCTGATTAGGAAACAAGGCCCACAAACCCACGCACATCCGGTCGTACGCCGCATATCGGCATGCGTCAGAAAGAGGCGTCTGTCGAGCTGTCGTTACTTTGCGCGGATTGGAGTCATGTGAAACGTTCCCTGTACGACATATAATGTGTATCGGCAAATGAGCTCAGCGTACGGTAAAGGAGGCGGTGAAGCGAGTCGATCCACCCTATTCGGTATCGTAGCCCCTCCAAAGCCGCTGCCGGGTAAGATGCGGAAAAGAGAGCTCCTCAGGCAAGCTGCTGTACTGTCAGCATCGTGGGGCTTGAACACGCTTAAGCAGGAGCGCATCATGGCCACGGTCGCGGTAAGGAACGCGTGGAGGTGGCCCGGTGTGCATATCCCAGACGGGCTTTCAAAGGGGGGTGCCAACAAACCCAATAAAGGAGGGAGAGAGGCACAGAGGGAGAGGGAGAGGGAGAACATTTCCGTGGCAACGTGGCTTCATCTCCCCCTGCTGTCGCCTCTGGACCGCGACTCGCCTGCAACATGCGCCGCAACTCCTCCTCTTTTTAAAAACCCAGAGCCGAGGTAAAACCCTAAACCTCCTCTTCAGGTCTATATGTTGGCGTAGTGACGGTGGCACTTTGTTGGGTTACGTCCGTAACTCACCCTAACAAGTACAAACAGGATCTCTTGTTTTCCCTACGTTTATGGCTGGAGTAAAACAGTCCGTAATCCATTCACCCTAACAGGCACAAGCAGTCAGTCTCCTTGGCGCGCCAGACCAGTTCTGTTCGCCCGTGGCTGGCTGGCAGCCCCGGCTGCTCCGGCTGCCACTGTGGTGGCGGCGCCGAGGGCCGCTGCTAGCAACACCATGCGCAGTTGGTCAACAATAGTTCGGTGCTCTGTGGTGTTCAATTCTAGATCTCAATGTTTGCAATCGGCCCGGAAGCCTCCCACTCTGTACATGTGTAAGTTTCTGTTTTCTACACCCTTTGAGCTGGTTAAGGTTAAGGTTAAGGTTAAGGATAACGAGCTCCATACAAGTGTCATCCATCGGTGACTGTCCGGGTAGACCACAGCGCAGCAGCCCCACAGCCTAATCAGTACTGGGTGGTCACACACCCACACCCACACCCACACACCACCTCACTGACTGGCTAGACACCCATATAGTGCAATACGGCCAGAAGTTATGGTGGAAGCGCAACGCACACACCCGCGCGCACACACAAACAGACACATCGCGGCTCAGATCATTAAAACACACACACGCACACACCCAACTGTCCCCGCCACCACCCTGATCGCCGTTTTCCCCTCGCCCTCACCCTCACCCTCACCCACACTCTCATTCCCGTCCACAAAAGGAAAAAAGAAATGACCAAAGCTGAGGATGTAAAAACGCGACAAAATATCCGTACAACCGCTACATCAACCATGTCATTTGCCCGCGGCTCATGTGTATTTCTTAGTGGGTTCTAGATATGAAATTAAACGAGCAGACCATCACGATAATTCTTAGAAATTCGGTGGCGGCTTAGTCATGCCCTCGTCGAAGAAACCCAGCGGGAAGTGACCAAGCTGTAGCTGCCCCAGCTGCAGCAGCACCCCTCGATCTCGACCGTCGTACCGGGAGACGTAGCACAACTGCGAAGGGGTAGGCGTGGGCTGGGGTTTTAAGGGGGGTAAAACGTGGTGTGTTTCGCGGCGTGTGGTTTACCTTAGTGTTCCCACCTCCCCGGAGACTACTCCCCGCGCTGCACACCGTCCTTATGCACCAGCAGCAGCAGCAGCAGCAGTAGCAGCAGCAGGGCGTAAGGTTCTCGACAGCCACGGCAGAAAGTTAGGCCGCCACCACATCCCATTTCAGTGGCTCCAGAACCCCTTAAGGAACCACAATCTGTACTGGCAGAACCACAATCTGTACTGCCCTGCAACGTTGTTATGTCGCTAACCTAATGGCTGAGAAATAAGAGCTGTCTCGTTCTCTGTCCCCTTACTCGAGCTCCTGCGCTAGCTCTTACTGTCACACCCCATCTCTTGTGGATCATCTCCCACATCCACATACCCGCCCAGCACACATTACTCCCCCACCCACCCACCCACACCCACACCAACCACATTACTCCCCTCCCGCACACCCCACATTACTTCCCACACACACAAACCCTGACCTGCGTCTTGGAGTTGTACTTCAGGTACACCCCGCCACGTAGCTGCATGGCGTTGCTCACGCCATCTACCTACAGTGTAGCACGGGGCGGGGACGGACAGACCCATGGGTCACAACGAATCCATTTGGGTCGCACACGAGATTCATTTGGGTCAGAGATCGGATCGAATGCAATCCAATAACGCCGCGCCTTCGCATCATTCGTGATGGGACATGGGTCGGTAAGTGCTCACAAACCACGTGGACAGACCCACGGGTCATCTCGCCTGGATCACATCAGTTTGGTCGTTTCCTGGCGGATGCAATCCGACCACAATATAAGTACTCGGAGCTCTCCGCTAATTGCGCGTCTTTCCCCAAAATGCACTCCCTCAAAACACAAACCATGTTCCCCCCTTTCCCACCTTCCCACCTCCCCTTTCCCCGCACCCTGCAGCTTGGCGGCACCAACGGCAGGCCCAGCTCCTCAACCCAGTCTCGATACGCCCGGACAGCAAAGGAGATGTCGCTGGCCAACACTCCCAACAGCACCTCCGAGTCGGCGGAATCCCCCGGCGGGCCCAGCCAGCCGGCAGGAGGATAAGGCCCAGAAAACGCCAGCTGTGGTGGATCCAGTTGGCGTCAGTTGGCAGGTTTGGTTTGTCAGTGTCAGTTGGTTTCCACCGGGCGGTTTGGCTAGAGGTGTTGAATGCCAGTTGAGTTACAGTTGTTAGTTGGGGTTTTCTATCAGGGTGGGCTAGTGTCATTGGGAGTTAGGATGAGATGGGGGGGTGAGGAATGAGTGTGGTGATTTAAACGGATGAGGATGCAGCTGAGGGAGGGTATCGAGGGGTGCGAAATAGAGAAAATTCGGGGAGAGGGGTTTGACAGTGTTATGCTGAGACGCGGCGGAAGTTGCCGAAGTTGTAGCGGTTGCGGTGGTTGCCATGCCGTACCTTGAGTGCTTCCCTCAGGCGTTCTCTCTTGGCGAGCGAGCTGAGGTACGGCTCCTGGGCTGCTCTCCGAAACTCTTTGAGCGTGAAGTCTCGTAGCAGATCCCAGGCAGCGTCGCGTTCGGGCTACAGGATCCAGAATTCAAGATCCAAAATGATGGTTATTGATTTTTTACTTTCCGTTCTGGATATGGCAAGCGGAACAAGCATGAGAATGAATGCACTTTTTTGCGCTTCCAACAACGGGGGTAGAGCACACAGAAGGGAGAAGTAGGACTGAAGTTTAGGACTGTAGTTGCGTCGGTTGTCGACTCGGTTGACTCGGATTTGGATCGGCGTAAAATTGGATTTGGATCTGGATGTGGGTTCACCTGATCCGCATTGAGATTTGGAAATGGATTGGATTGGATCCGGGTTGGGTTCTACTTGGTATGGGATCTGGATCCGGAACGGCTTCGGGATCAGAATGGTATGGCCATACTGGTGTATGATAGAGCAGTGCTGCGTATATTAGAAAAGAGATACGTTGTGGCAGAGGGATGGCAAAAAAGAGGCAGGGAGGAAGGACATATAAGGGCGTACCGTCGAGGTGCATGGAAATTCCGTGGCTGCGGTTGCGGAGCCTCCTGCATCTGCAGCCGCTAGGCCTCTTGCAGCCTGCGTTCGTATCCACGCGTTGCGATGTGATACGGCGTACATTGGCTGGGCCCAAGGTGTCGCCGCACGGTCCGATGGTACGAGTGTTCGTGAACTGGACCTGGCCAGCATTCCTGGCTTCCTCCAGATAGCGCAGAAGCACAGTGACGGATTCTTAGTATCCGGGATGTGGATGTATCGCGATGGCGTTAGGCAAGCAGGATGGAAACGGGTAGTGTGGTAAAATGCGAACCACTAGGGACAAACGACAAGCTTGGTGTTGGAAGCGACGTATTCGGCAGCTTCTCCTAATTCATGATCAAGTAATTGGTGGGTAAGTAGGGAACTCGGTTGGCAACCCGCAAGTATAATTGTACGGCAAAGGAATTTGTATGTCACGACTTTGCTGAGCAACGAAGCGTAGTTCAACATTTTACTTCGCGTTTTGGATGAGTCCCTATGCGGCAGATACTCTTCGCCTTCCTAAGGCCAGCTCCTGCAACTGATAATTGGTGAAGGTATATTGCCACAACCTTCAAAACTGTTTTTTGTGACTCCTTATCATGTATGTTTGCTTCATATAGCTTGTATTAGGTTTAAGCTCTTGCAGCTAGCTAGCTTCCTTCAAGCACGATGAAGCCCGGCGCGCGTGGACCAGCCAAAAGGAGCTCATACACTTTTGTGACCATTATTTGCTTCTCAGTTGGTCTGCTTGGTGGATATCTGATCCTTGGAAGCCTTCGCACGGTAAGGGTGTGTTCACATGTAGTCCAATTGAGAGTCTGATTGGGAGTCCGATTCGGGGCGGCTTTCTGAATTGTGTTCACATACGATTGGTGAGGTGCCACCGCGCCCAGCTGAAGCTCCGCGGCTACGCCCCATCACCCAAGGCAAGCCAGCATTATCTAGGAACAGAACAGTATAAGTATCGTTTCTATGGCGAAAATTATCACCAGGCTTGTACATACATAGCTGCAGGAGTTCGTGAAAAATGCTCGGTGCGCTTTGCGTGAATTAACAATTGGAAAATGTTCCTATAGTATTGTAATGGTAATTATGAGAAACGGTTTGTTAAACAACTTTGTTTTGAGAAAGAAAACTGTGAATCACGTCGAATCATACCCGAAGAGGCCCCCCCGGACCCCAATTCCGATTCGGGTCCAATCAGGTCCAATTCAGAGTCCAATTCGCATGAATCAACCCTGATTCGCCCACATGTGAACACGTCCTAAGTTGCTCGGGCAACTAATACTGGGCTGTTGCTTTTCCCCACGATGATTATGAACCCGCGTTTCAGGCGGATCATATCGAAGCAATTAACGCCGATTCCTGATTGGGTAAGCTACTATCGCCCGCGTGATGGCGTCTGGTCTCGTATCATTGCATTTACCAAGCGTAAGCCTTAGTTCCCACGCTGTTATGCAGGTCATGGTTCCCATGGCTCCGTCAAGAAGGTGGGTATCGTGCGCCAACATGGTTTATCATTCACCAACTTCGTCGGAGAGGGTTTTGGCGTACAGGCTGTCACCTGTAATTTGCTTCCGCGCCTACGAATCTACTTGGCGACTATATTTTCAGTCGAGCAGATCACCACCACGACACGCAGCACCACCCCATATTGCACCCGCAGCCTGCCTCGTGGGTCCAACTGCGTGCGCACCCATTTCTCCTTCACTCTATTCCTCTCCTCTGCTCCTCTCCTTCCTCGGAAGGGGTTTCGGAAGGGGTTTTGGGGTCATTACGACTCTCGTTCCTAGCCAGCGGTTTTCCTCCTCTTCGCAACTCCCAACTAACGGCAGGTTTGGGGCACTCGACGGGAGCTGTTGACACCCAAAAACGCTTCGAGCGGCATCAGCTGCAGCAGCAGCACGATGGGTGAGTGAGTCTATTTACGTTAGCATTTTTTGTCCGTCTGTCATGCATGGCTGGCTAACTGGCTGGCTGGCAACCTTTGTTGATCTGGGTCAAAATGTGTGGAAGTCCGCAGTAAAACTTATGGTCGGGGGACCTGAAGCTGTGATATGTCAGGGTGTGTGGGTGTGTCGGAGTTATGGCCGGGATGGGAAACTGTGGTTTGGACGCCTCTTGCACACATGCACCATCTCTTATACATAAACTGGCTGCGACCGCCATCACAATTGTTCATCACCATCAGTCTCCCTTTTCCCCCTTCACTCGTTTGTGGTTCGTCTTTCCCCTCTCCCCCTTCCTCCCTCGCACCACCGTAGCGGGCTCACCACCTCCAGGCCGCCACACCCATTTGGGAGGAGCTCAGTCTGTAGATCGAGACCCACGCGGAAGCTAAGAAGATGCTAGGTGAGTGAGTGTGTAGGTATGTAGAGGTTCGGGGGTAATAAGTGGATAGGGGGCGGAGGTCTGTGTGAGAGATGCCTATGTGGCACGGCGCGGCGGCGCTTCACGACGCGGCGCGGAGCGACACAGGGTTTTTATCCCTAGCCACCCAGTCGTTCTCGGGCGCCACCCCGCCACCCCACCACCCCATCGCTGCCGATGCCCCGTACCGCCTTGCACGCCCCTATTGCTGTATATATTTTTTGTTGCCATTTATGTCCTTTGCCTCACATATTTACCCCGTGTCCTCTGGGTCCTCCATGTCACCAGGCTGGGTTCGGGAGACATTATACGTTCGGGAGACATTGTACGCCTGGGACATTGGTGTCGCCGCCAACAAGCTCAACATCCGCAACCTGGGTCCACCTGCCTCGCCACTCATTAGTCAGCCACCCCACGACCGCAGCTTGGGGAATGTCCCCATGTACCACTACACAAGGGGCACCGTTTACAAGGTGAGAAGGGTGGATTGGGGCGTTTGAGGAGGGGGGATATTTAAGAAGGGGCTTGAGGGTATTGGGGACAATGCAGGGGTGGCATCTCCTCGTCCTTCACCTCGTCCTTCACCTCCTCCTCCACCTTGGCCACCTTCGCCGCGTGCCAAGGCCCGCATCTGGACCTTTTGTTTCGTCTCTTGTCCCTAACATTCGTCGTCTCTCACGTCTACCCGCCTGCCTGGTTGTCTGTCTTCCGCAGAAGCCGGGCGTGGAGAAAGAGATTTGGATGTTTGACAAGCGGACCTACACCGCATATGAGCACCAGCTCAAGGTACGCGTCTGCAAAGCCTCAATGTCCTGGTGGGGGATCTGTGTGGCTGGCTGACAGGCTGGCTGGCAGGCAGGTCTAGTTCAAGGACTGGCTGACCGGCAGCCTGGTTGAAGATTTAAAAGACGTCCTTCGTTGGGCTGAAAGGCTATAACTAGGCTGGTAGAGCTGTTCATGTTTCTGTTACATATCAATCCGGGCCTGACGCTGGCCAGGGGTGGAGTTTTATAGTTTTTGCTGACTAATGCCGTTTAGCTTTACAGGAACGTACATGTGTGCGTGTGTGCCTATGTGTGCGTGCCTGTGTGTGTATATGTGTGCCTGCGTGCGCGTGTATTTCTGTGAGGTCGCTACTATCCCACGACATGCGCGCTGGTAGAATGGGGCCGTTTAGACACGTTTCCCCTCCCTCTGCTCTGTTGCGTTGAAATCATACTGTCCAGATTCCATCATGTGCTCCTAATGCCAATATCCCTTATGCATTTGCCGCGCCTCGTATGCCGGTGGTCCACAGCATTCCCACTTTTGGCCCCTTTGGATCTGCCATCCGAATTCTCACATCCCTCGGAGGTGGCTTCATCCTCAATGTTCATCCCTGGGCTAGGCCCCATTCTTTCCTCAACAAACGTACCTTCGCCGGTGTATCACCTCCTTTCCTGCAGTTGCCACCCATCCCGATGCCCCCGAACTGGACCAAAGATCTTACTCTGCAGGTAGGGCCAGGCTGTTTGTACGGTATTGTACAGTGTCGTACGGGCCGCCACGTATAGTGCGATGTGTGTTGTGCTGATTGTCTGTGTTTGCCCGTGTGTCCTGTCCTTTCCGCACCCGCGCAACCCCCCATCTGACGCTCCGGAACCGAACCTCCGAAACCTCCCACCGATATCTCATGTACACCCGATATCAACAATCTACAGGACGGCCTTAAAGTGACCAAGGAGCTCCACGACACGGTAGTGGACATGCTCTCCCACATGAATCAGGCCATTGCCCAGCTGCCTGATCTGACGGAGAAGGTCAAGAAACAGAAGGAGGCGGAGGCCGCAGCGGCGGCGGCGGCGGCAGCAGCTGCTGCTGCAACCAAGACAGCCTTACGCATACGACCGGGAAATCCAGGCAAGGTGTGAAGGCGGATGAAAGCTTTAACGGCCCCTGCTGCCGGCCCTCTGCCTGCGCATCGGGTTGGTTGTTTTGGACATTGGTGCTTACGTAGCTTGGCACTTACTGGCCGCTTGCTTGCTGGCCATATGGCACCGGCTTAGCCTCTCGTGTTCATGAGGAGGGAGAGCGAAGCGGCAGCGCTTGGAGGTGGGCTCCTGGTCCTGTGGGGCCTAGGGGGGGTATGCAGTTAGGCAGTCCGCGAACCCGGGCATCGGCTGGGGGGAATGCTCCCCACGTTCTCGGAGTTTTGCTCGTAAGAGGGGGATGGGGTTGCAGAGTAGAGCGGGGGAGGCAGCTGCGGCACTGAAACGGCGCAGGAAGGTTGTCACACGGGTGGTGTGGATGATGTGGGCGAAACAGAGATGACATTCCAACATGGAGGAGAGTAGACGCGTGCGCCTCGCCCCCAAGAGAATGCTTGGAGCATTTATATCTTGGAGCAATGCGCCGTGCGCCAGAGGGTGATGCGGGGTGGGGGTGGCAGCTGTGGGCGATGGGGGCTGTGCATGGAGGCTGTGCAAGGTGAGGGACACCCGACCTTCCTGGCGGCTGCGTTAAGCGGGCGCTAGGTGACTGCCATAATGCTGTGATCCAGAAGATTCCAGAAGTAGTTACGCGCAATGTGCAACGGGCATTTCGCGAGGGGGAGTCAGGTGGGTTGTGTGTGTGTGTCCCGTCAATAGTCCCTGCCGTCCAACCGAGTGATCACATCACCGTTTGATTTTTGCATTATTGATTACAGGTGGTGTCATACCCATACGATCATACGAATGCGCATATGTGTGACGTGAACATAATTTTCATCCACGGAAATGCAGACGCGCGTGTGTGTGCGGCGCGCTATTTTCGATGTTTGGGTTCATGCTCTGCGCACTCACTGCCACGTAGATTACACAAAGACACAGACTCACGTGGGAATAAGCAGGCGCATTGAAAAGCAGGTGATGAATGGAACGGTGACTGAAGAGGATAGGATTATACGAGCGCTGTGCTGCGGTTGGCGCTTGTCTCTGGAATGCACCGGTGTCCATGGCTATTGGCCCATTTTTTGGCACGTAGGGCTCTGTAGGGATATACAATCGTCTTCGATGCTGGAAATGCTAGTATTGTGGCTTTGGTGTGCTGCTAGTATGTGCTAGTGTGTATGCTACGATGTGGCTTTGGTGTGCTGCTCCTGGGGGACTGGTGTGGACTGTGGACTGTGGGGGGAGTTCGCAGGCAATGACTGTTTGCAGCCGTCATCGTAATCGTGTACAGCAATGCACTTTGCAGGACAGACTTTTTGCAGTACAGACGTATAAGAGTATCCCTCGTCTTTGCCGCCTTCGTACTCCTGAATACCTCAGCCAATCGAAGGAGGCCCCCTACCTGACACACCACAGAGCAATGTTAACAGGTTCTCTTCTGTCCCCTGCTAACGCACAAAACGCGCCTTAGAACTCCTAAATCTCAATCCGCTACACTACCATCGCCTGCATCGTTCTCACTCCACGATCGTTGATTGCCAGCTCCCTTTTAGCTGCCTATCTATCATCAGAATTGCCGTCGTCGCCACCGCCATCCGTGCTTCCGTTAGGGCACCTCACGTCGCTCTCCATCAAAAGTCCTCCTCCCACTTTCCTGTCCTACACCTGTCCCATCATCATCCTCACCGATTTCTCAAGCATCCCGCACCCTTACCTCCTCCTAACTCTCCCAGAACCCACCAGAAACACTCCCCATCCACTCCTTCATCCCCTCTTCCAAAACACCAGCTCCGAAACCCCAGCCGCGACCTCCGCCGCCAAGCACTCATAATCATCCCCGACTCGAAGCTCCATCCGGAAAAAACGGAGCGCTCCCTCTGCCTCTGCCAGTGCCTCCCTCCCTCCCTCCCCTTCATCCATACACCACATAACCTACATGAAACCAACCCATACCACAACGTCACATATAATCTTCATTACCCGTACCCCAGCCCCACATGAAACCGGCCCTCCTTCCGGGCGTTCCACGCGTATTCCAGCCGTACTGGACCCACAGGTGAGTCCGCTCGTACTCCGCCGCCAAAGCCGTACCCGCTGCCCGGCTTGCCGCGCACGCCAGCGGGATCCCCGATTACCGCGGGGCCGCTGCCCAGGTCGGATCCCACATCCACGAAGGCGGTGGCGCAGAGCTGCTTCAGCGGAAGAGGTGCTCGGAGCTCCGCAGTCCCCTCGATACTGTGGCGTCCGGAACCCACACAGCCCTCTGCAGGATGGGACCGGGATGGGGGTGGGGGGAACAAGATGAACCACTGGCGAATGCGGCAGATGCCAGAGGTAATAGACGGATCGGATCAGATCGTCCGAGATGGGGGGGAACGATGGGGCTAGAGTATTATGCATGCAAGAAGTGAAGGGGTGTGTGTGTATGGCGGGAAATCTCCGGGAAGGAAGATAAGCAGGCCTAGGCGAGCGGGGCCCCCGGGTGCTAAGGAGGAGGAGGAAAGGAAGGAGGAAAAAGATGGGAGTATCGAAATAGAGGGAGCGGAAAAAGCTGGGAGCGGGTGAGAAGGAAGCGAGAGATGGTGGGATAGAAACTGGTGGTTCTTACGAGTTCTTCCGGAGGCTTCATCAGCATTTTTCCACAACCCAGGAACGTCCAGCGGCATTACTCATTTACTACTCATAAAATATAAAAAAACGTGCACAGAAATGTATTCATCAAGTTTCATGCTGTGGGGGGTTTCCTTTGTATAAAGAGGCTGCCGCCGCCTCGGTCATCGAGTAATCGGGCAACAATCGGGTTGATCGTCGTACAGCTCACCCGCGTAACCCCGAACCGAGTTGGTCCCGCCAATTGGAAAGGCCTCGTACGGCGGCAGATCGCCGAGTACAGCACCTGCCCTGCCGCGAATATACAACCCGAGGTATGGCCCTAGCCGTACAGCCTTGTCCAACCTTGCCTGTCGTGATGTCAGGGGCGGGAACCAGGGGAAAGAAGATCAGGGTGATCATGTGTATCGCGCGTCACGACACGTCATGTCACGTCCGTACACTAAACATAATACAGCGTTGCCAATGTGTATGCTGTTCCACTCGTGGAACAGCCCATGCCGACCGCCTCGAAAAGGAGGAGTGAGAGATGGGTTAGATAACAAATTAATGAAGTCAGCTTCCCCGGGTGCACTAGCCCGTAGCTTTTGGAGCTGTCCTTTTCTGTTTCCATTTCAACAGGGGTATTTACAGGTTCCTCGGAAATTTTACCGATTGAGGTAGGTGGAAAGGTCAGCTTGATTTAGTATAAGGGATCTGAGTGTTGGCGTTTCAATCCAACCCACCCATCAACACAACCCAGCCATCCAGCCAGCTAGTCAAGACGTAAGTAGCAACCCACTTTGATTCTGGTGAAGTGCAGCCATTCCCGCCGTAACGGCAGCGCTTGTTCCAGGCCAAGTACGGCATGTGTGTCAACGTCCCGTGGGTCGCTGTTTTGGCGGCCGAGGGTGTAGGGCAGCCGGGGTTTTAAGAGGAGCACGGAGCACAAGCTGGTCACTGGCATGCAGATAAGGATATATTTAAGATAGAACCAAAAATCGATATGTCGCCTGTTCTTCCCTCTTTCCCCCTTTCCCCCGGCACAACACTGAAGCAAACCACAAAAGCACACGCAAGGAAGAGACACCCACAAACACAGACATGTATACAAAGACGGACACACAGACACGCACACACATACAGACGCACACGCGCGCGCACATGGTTCACTTCCTTTCTAGGCCAACTTTTCATAAAAACGAACAAAAGGAAAGCACACGATAATGCCCTCACCTGTACGTTACCGAGGCCGCGACCACGAGCGCCTTATCATTGTTGTCCGCGGAGAAGGTAATCGGTGCATGGTACATGTCGTGCGTGATTGGCTGACCACGCTCGTCCATGCAGCGAGTACGGTGACAGGAGGTAGACAGGGAACCCGACCAACTTTGCGACATGCACAAGTACGGAGTTGGGCGGATTTCAAGGGGGGGAGGGTCATCGGACGAAAAGTCAAAATGGCGGGTTAGGCGAGGCCGGGGGAGATTCCCTCCCGTCCTGCGGAATCCCAGTAGCTGCATTGGGCCCTCAACGGCCTCTCGTGCCGATGGTTGTGGTGGTTGTGGTGATCATAGTGGTCAACCACACATACATACATAAATGCATACATACGTACGCACTGTTCTCTTACACTCTCACTCACATCTGGCGTATAGACATTAGACAGACAAACACAAACACGCACACTGGCACTTTCTTTTCTTACCATTCCGAGAGCGGTCGTTGCCACTCCACTCCGCCCTGCAGCCGACCCAGTAGTACACCCCCACCACCGCTGCCAGCTCCAACCCCCCCACCGCCCACAGCAGCACCGCTACCGCCATCATCGCCGTCCGCCTCCGCCCTGCCGTGAATTGTGTTGCCTGCAAATATCAAATCAACATCCAAAATTAAAACCCTACGTTAAATTAACCCCCCCCAAAACAGGTACTTCCAGAAAAAAATGACCTTAACCTAAAATTTAGTACTTTTATTGTTTAGTATCAGCCTATGCATGGATCACCCAAAGCACATTTTCACTGAAAAACAACTCTTACTGATCAACAAATCTTACAGAACGATGGCGGCAAATGAGGGTGCCTGCCAATGAGTACACCGCGGAATTGTACGGCAGGTTGTAAATCTCCAATACTAAACCCGCATCGCTCTCCTTAACACACCGGAAAGCATTACATTGTATGAAGACCATGACTCGAAGAAAGGGGCGGTAGGAGAGGGCTTTAGATTTTTTGTACCTAACAGTGTACGACCAACACGACCCTAAAAACACATAATGAACAACGCACATACGCAGAAGAAAACGAGCAGCGCCAAAAAACATTCAATTGATAATAAGTACGCACCCGAGGTCCTATTGTTCATGAGGTGGATGGTACGAGATGTACGGTGTGGGTTGCTGTTGACCCACGGGTCGTTGTGAGTGATGCGAAACAGCTTGTCCACCTGCAAGTGCACACGAACGCGCACGAACGCGCGTGTTTGTGTGTGCGTAATATTTTTACGGGAAGAGCATCGCAAATCAGGAAGTTTCCCTTTCCCCTGAGCCCCCACTACCACTACCAGCTGCCCTCGCACCTGCCCAATCTCCGCGCTGACACTCAGTCGCTGATTGAGTCCAAAGAGGTTCCGTTCGTTGTAGGAGAAGGACCCGATCAATCCGGGCCAGGCGCCCTCCCCCGACGCCGCGGCGCTAAGTCCGCCCCCAGCGGACAAGCCCCCGGTCTTCCTCTCCACGAGGTCGAGTACCAGATCCACCTGAGCAGGGGGCCGGGGGCCGGGGGCGGGACGAAGGGGGTATGCAATAGGGAATGATGATCCAAAGTTCGAATTGCAAGAGGAGGGTGAAGGGGCAATCACATGCAAGGAGACACGGAAACCCTAAGGAAGTGCCGGCATCCGACCCCTCTGACGGGAAGAGGCGGGGCAGGTTTCAGCTGGGGAGGTTTCAGAGAGGGGGATGTGAAGGAGGGGGGGATGAAAATAATAATGGGGGTTTCGAGGATTGAAAGAAGAAAAGGGGGGAATGGAGATCTACGGACGAAAGATTTAGAAAACACACATACATACATACATACATACATATATATGCATTCATACATACATACATACATACGTGCATGCATCCATCCATCCATACATACATACACAAACACAAAGAAACAACACCTTGGGCACGGCCTCCGTGGAGTCCTCCGCCTCCCGGGTCGAGACGTTCACATCCTCGAACAGCCCCGTCGCGTACACCGCATTCAAATCCCGCCGTACAGCCCGCAAGTTGTACACGTCCCCAGGCCGTGTGCCAGTCAAATGACGTGTCACCACATGCGGCTTGGTACGTGGGGGCTTATGCAGGGCGGGTGGTTTCTTCTTCGTCGCCGTTGTACCGTTTTCGCTATTGCCATCATTGTTGCTGTTGCTATTACCGGTGCTTGTGGAGGTGGTGGTTATGGTGGTTGTAGTGGAGGCGGAGGATGTGGGTTTTAGGATGGTGGCTGAAGCGGTGGGCTGGCCGCTGGTCGAGTCTAAGAACCGGAGTGTAACGGAGTTGACCAGGGCTTCGGCGCATTGAAGCTGGAGCTGACCGTCCTCGAAGGTGTAGTCCGAAACCTGGAACAATAAAAGAGGAACACACCAAATTTGTAAAACCCAAGGATATAACGTAATTGCGAAGTCCAGGGAAGGAGGCATTTACATTTGCATTTGCAACAAAACTAGCGAAAACGGGTGTTTCAAGGAGGGGGGGAGGGAAGGGAAGGGCCGGTAGGAGGGGCGGAGTTCTGGAACGATGCGAGATGCACAGCAGCAAGGCGCGGACGTCCAGAACACCTGGTGAGGTGAAGGTATAGGTGAGGTGAGGGGGGAAGGTGGAGGGAACCCCCATACAAGCGTTTGCCCTGTAAGGATGTTACCCAGCGGCCAACGGTCGCCCAAAGAGGAGGGGAACGGAGAGGTGAATACGAATACCACAACATACATACACATACATACAGAAACACCATAACACGATAACCCGAAACGCCGCACGCCCGGCCCCCTGCGCTGTTGCTGTGTTTGGGCCCGGCCCGGTCCGGTCCGGTCGCTCCACAGCGCTCATCGTCCTTCCTCAGGGCGAGCTTTGCCCACACAGTGTACCCGCCCCCTCGTCAACACACGACAAGACCAGGACACGATAACCCGTGGAAGGGAAAAAAAGGGTACAATGTGACAGTGGACGGGTGGCAGTACTGGATTGGTTGGACTAGCCTGGGGCATCGGGTGGAGTGGAGTGGGGTGGGGTGGGGTGGAGTTGGACGGCCATCCAAAGCCCGCAACACCCGTGCCCGGACCCATGAAACCCTCCCTCCTCCTGCCCCCCCATATCCCTCCTCTCCACCCTTCACACCAAACTCACCTCCCTACCAAGCTCGACGGCGGCAGTCAATTCCTTGTTTCCTTGCATGGGGGCATATGTTCCCTCTCCCCCATACACCCCCCCCCTCCCTCCCTCCCTCCCTCCCCCTCTCACCATGCCCATGATGCCCCTGTCATGGTACCAGCCGTCCAGCGTGGCGATGGCCTTTTGAAGCGACCCAAGGTTCAGTGTACGACCAGGCATACCCTGGAGGGTGCAGGGCGAGCGGGTGGTTGACAGTTGCAATCGACCAACTAAATTAAAACACACACGTACAGTGCACGGCAGCGCATCTCGGACTCATCATGAGCGTTAGCGAGGTGGTGGTGGTGGTGGTTCCCCAGGCCCTGGGGAGGGTGAGGGAGGGAAAAGAAGGCAGCAGAACCCTTATACCGTCAAGGGAGGGCCCACTACACGTCCTCCCCCAGCTGCCCTAACACCTCCCCCAACCCGTTTTTTAATTCGTTCCTCTCTACGCCGGAAAGCCCGACATATAAACACCCAACCAACATGTACTGCTGTTCAACGGTGTGCGCTTTATCTTAGGTTTTCCCAGTGGGGTGGAGTGTACGGCAGTCCGTTGCGGTCCCCGATGGCCCTCTACCACCCTGCTGGGGTATTTATTCCCTCTGGGGTCAATCCAATCCCGGGGGCCTCTCGTTGCGTAATACCTACCACTACCACTACCACTGCTACTGCTACTACTACTGCCCACCCACCTCAAAAGCCTGCTGTACGACACACGCTGGCAGTAAACTTGCGCCCACTGCGGACAGGGACCGGACCTCCTCATTCGGTCGGACCTGTCATCGATTATCATTTGGTTACGTTGGGTTAGTTGTTGGTTAGTTAGTTGCTCCGGTATGTTTCTGGTCAATGCCTAACGGTTATGGTTGTTGGCAGTTGTTGCAGAGCCGCGTTTCGGAGCAACGGGCGATGGTAAATACATGGACAACAGTCAAATATCGGTAGAGGTTCGAATAAAAAAATCCGTTTCATAGGTATACATCTCGTCAAGGAGGGTGGTGGTTATGGTCGTTAAGGTGGTTATTCTGCAAATCCTGCCGTCCCACAGTACACCGTGCAGTACACGCTGCAGCAGCCTACATGCCTGTAGCTACAACTGCTAACATATTAACTGTCAACGACCAACGGTCGTCTAATTACCCGAATCCGGAGCTTGACTCCGTCGCGCGTGTCCTCCGCGTCCGGGGAGACCTCAGCGAACCACCCGGTGGCGAAAACCCGCCGTACATCCGCCTGTGCCGTACACCCGTGGCACGAGCAAAAGGGTCAAAATCGCTTTGATGATAATGATACGGCCATGGAAGGAAGCTAAGCAGCTAAGTTCAGCTTTCGTAGGAGGAAAGACAGAGGCCGTTTTCGGAGCCAAGGTGCCTAAGAGTGCGGCCAACTGAACCCGCATGGATTCAGCTTCGTGCCCAAAGGATTTGCACTGAACCAATCAAATCAGTAGAACTGGCCCACATGCATCAAACTGCTCCGCACCTCTCCGTACGGTCTAAATCGGCGCGCCGTACACGGCTCGCTAAACGCAACTTCCACCAAGATCCGGCCGAAAATGTCGACGTTTACGACAATCAGAGTGCCAAAAAACTGATACCAATGAGGCCCTACTTGATCCAAAACGTTCAAACTGACCCACGGGTCACTCAACGCCGCGCCGCCGTTTCCTCACCTTGACCTCCTCTAGCGTGTATGCGAAGTTGGGTCGCGTGGTCAACGCCTCGCGTGCAATCTGCTTTAGCTCGCCGTCACAACCAACCACCTCCACCTAGATACAAATCATGATGATGCGAGACATGGGGACCAGGGAATGAAGTATGGATGGTAGGCGGCAGCTGTATCTATATGTGGGTATATGGTACTGGGTGTATGCATGTATAAGCATGTCTGCATTTATGAAGTTTATAGAGTAGAAGGGTTCCCTGATAAATCGGAAATGCGCAGCGCACACATTGTTTTGGTGGAAAAGTGATTGGCAGAAAAGTCGACCTCATCATGTCAAACTTTTTATTCAAACTTTCGAAACGGTTGTGAACGAGCACCTCGCAGCGCAGCAACCACAGCCAGCATGACAGCAGAGAAGAAACCGCGCGCGGCAGATCCGGAAAGGAAGGGGGAAACCGGAGGGAAGTCATGAGTAATACTGCTATGAAGCTGACCCAGCTATGACGCCAACCCAGTCCCGAGAGGGAGTTGTATTTAAAGAAAGGATGTGATGACGAGGCAGGAGTGTTCCATTCTCGAACTTAACACTGCACTCAGGAGGGCGAGATGGCTGGCTGGCTGCCTAATGCAGGAGAGCTGGTGTGTTCAACACAAATTCTGAGCTGCGAACGCACCTCCGAAATGAGGATGCGATCCTCGGGCTCGTTTTTGCCTTTTGTTGTTGCGGGTTTCACATCCGGAGTCAATTTGTCTGATGGCTGCCCGCCACCGGCAGGAGCAGCTACCGAAATTGCCGCGAGAAGTGGTGGTAGTCGGTTGCCTTGCGAGATCACGTGGAATCTCCTGGATTGCGCCCGACCAACACCATGGCCGGGAAATCCAGGGCTCGTTGAAGAGTAATGGCGGCCACCCCAAGGGAGGCCACAGGGCGACTGCCTGCAACCTGCCGCCCAGCCATGATGTTGAACAAACCCGCTCACAGCTTGTTGAAAGAATGCTTCTAGAGGCCTTAACAAGGCTCGTCCAAAGTCACTCTGTTCCGCAGACATTCGAGCATGCTCTCTTTGAAAGTACTTGACAATCCCAACAACTCCGCTTGGTGCATGCGAAATTTGCTGAATTGGGTATCATGATGTAACTCGTACGAATAACTTTTTGAAAGCCGAACTACAGCTCATGGGATTCCATGTACCGATCTGACTCCTAAGAAATAGGTTATAACAATGCATGTATTAGGTTAGGAAGGTGCCGCGAAATCCCCTGGGAGCGTTGGTCACCGCCTTGAAAATGACTCCAGCAAGCGTGCATCGCACGTGTCCTCAACATAGCTAGGGGTTGCTGGACGTGATCCATATCGTAATGATGTCCCTTATACGCTTTCTGTCGCCTCGTCACCGTCGCCTCCTTCCAAACGGTCCTCTAGTGTTGGCATGCATTGCTTTGATCGGCACAAGCATATGGATTTATCCTTCTACGGGTCCTATTTCTGGAGGTGAACGTAATAGCGAGGAGGCCGCGGCATCAGGCGTGGGCATATCGGCAGTGCACTTGAAGACTAAGACTCGAGGCAAGTTTTCGGTTTACTGGGATCCTAAGAAGATTCGTTCCGTTTCTAGATAAGTGCTTATCGTGGGGAGCATTATGACGTGTACCGGATTGTCATACCATTCTGCTGTGGAACAGGCGCACATGCGTTGCATTGCACCGTGCAGGGGTACTGGGTGTCGATGGTGGCGAAAGCCCCAAGTTCCTGTTGGTGCAATGCCACCGCGGTCAATTCTCGAACCGGCTGAAGTGCTTGAAACTTGGGATTCTGTTGGCTAGAACTCTCCAACGCGTGCTTGTGATGCCGATGTTTACGGACGTTGTACCTATGGTGGACGTGTCCAAGTACGTTAGCTTGGAGTGCTTGAGGTACGTTGACAGGAGCACGGTGGTTAAGGGCAGGCGGGTTAGGACAGCCGGGTTACCGTAAACCCTTAGCGCGGACTTGGCTTGGGCTCCGGTGGCTCTTACACGTGCAGCGCTTAACCCACAGCCATAGCTTTCCATAGCTTACCCGCCTTGCTGGTTGGCTGGTTGGCAATCCGTCCCCACCTCATGTCGACCTTACGCCCGCAGGCGGAACTCCCAGGCCGTAACTTTTGATGAGTTTCGTGAGCACATTTGCCATGCTGTGGGCCTGGAGACGCCGCAGCCAGCCTCAGCAGGCACCGCACGGCCTGTGGGAAATACCACACCAGCAGACCTTCGACGGGGTGCTTTTTGTGAGGATGACTCGGTGCTTCAGCTGGAAACGGGCTTCAGCCTCGAAGGTGCGTTTTGCCGCCATTCCTGCGATGCTATTCGCCGAGCGATGTATAGCGATCCCGTTCGAGCATCATCTCATATTCGAGCGCGCCCATATGTGTCCTGCGGCATCCAGCCGCTTCGCTATAGGCAGGGCGCGCGTTGGGTTGCGACAAGTCATGGGAAACGCGCAAGTCCCAGGGGCATAGCGGGCGTGTACTCACAGCGATCAGCAGCCTTGGGGTATACAATCCTACTGGATTTGATTTGGGTCAGAGCATTTGAGACGTGGGAAGGGGAATGCATCATTTGCGGCGTTGGCCTGCCGTCATTGGAATGGGACCAGGTTACGGCCATCTCGATTTGGGTCACATGCCAGGGACGTGCTCTTCCTCTTGAAGGTCCGCGTTGTGGGGCCCCCAGGGAGGTTAGCACCCAAAGATTAATGATAGTATCCTGCTGCCTCCTGTTCTCGGAGTCCCTTTGTAGTTTCGCACTCATCGTCCATCTTCACAGAGCGCCAACACTGCCTCTCTGCGCTTGACCCATATCCAGTTCTTGTTCAGTTCGTCCATCTTCACGTTGGTAACTCATATCCGGTTCTTTTGTCCTAAACCGATGCCGATTCTTCATGGATTACCCATGCCCGATTCTCAATAGGTCTTTTTCCCTCTTATGCGGACTTAAACCAAAAAAACGGCTTTACTCGTGCGTGGTTTGTCTTTCCCCAACCCGAATCCCCCAATGCTATGAGCAGACTACCGTGGTTACAACTGCTGGAACCGTCGGGAAGATCTGACAAACGCACGCGATCTGGGCATCCAGGTATCTGGCTGCACTCACGTGCCCCCCGCACCCGAAGCACATTCGTACAGCCTGGCAGAAATTCGGAGGAACTTCGCTGGCCGGACGGAGAAGGTGATGCTGTTTCTGGACCTCTTTGGCGTCAACCTGTTGCCTAATTTGGCAGACCTGGCAGACACGATTGCGGAGCCTCGGCAGGTGTGCAGCTGGATGCCTACCGAGGCGGCAGCGGCGGCCGCTGACTCAGTCATGCAGATCCTCATTCCGCCACAGCAGCTGCCGCTGGGGATCGCCACAGCTGCTGCTGCTGCTGCTATCACTGCCGCTGGCGGCAGCGCAGCGGCTGCCGCCGCTGGCGGCATCGGCAGCCTGAGCCTGCCTGCCCTATTAGACCCCACAAGCCATCGCACTTTGTCGATGGGCGCATCAGATTCGGCACTGGAGCCGCCGCCTGTGCGCCTGCGTGGCGCACGTCGTTACGCGGCCGTGCATCTGCGTCGCGCCGATTGGTTTTACTACTGCGGCGGTTCGGGCCACTGCTTCTACAGCATAGCGGAGGCTGCGGCCTGGCTGAACGAGACCTTGGCGGCGCGGGGCCTAGACACGCTTTACGTCGCCACGAACGCGGACAGCCGGGAGAAGATGATGCTGCGGCGGGCAGTGGCGGCCAGGGTGCTGTTTTGGGAGGACGCCCTGGCGCAGCTGCTCAGCTGGCAAGCAGGAAGAGCGGAGTCGGCAGCGATGAAAGCGGCAGCGGAAGTGGTAGGGCCCGAGGAACAGGACGGCTCGGGGGCGGGGCCGGGGGCAGGTGGGGAGGAGGGTGCTCACCGACCGCAGCGGTCGGTGGAGGAGGCGGCCGCGCCGCTGCCGCGGTGGCTGCAGTCGCTGCCACTAGACGACGAGTTGATGGTGCAGATGGTGGAGAAGGCAATCTGCATGCAGTCAGCGTTCTTTGTGTCCTCCATAGGTTCGACGTTCAGCAGCCAGATCCAACACTTCCGCAACGGCGGTTTGGAGGATGTAGAATGGGGCGTGATCGAGAGTAAGTTCCCTGCGCTCGTGACCCCGTGGACGGCGGAGACGGCGACGGCCATGGCCAACGCCAACGCCCTTCCCGACGGCAGCGGCGGCGACGGCGCCATTGCGACGGAGGGCAAGTTTGTATCTTTGCGAGAGGGCGCCACGTTTCTCTGCGACATGCAGCCGCCAAAGTACCCCGACCAGCGGCGTCTGCCGGACTACCACAACCCTAGGGTCTTTGTAGAGCAGATGACGAATTTATTATCGCCACTGCGCAGCGCGGTGCTTGGGCTGTGGCATCGAGTCGTGAAGGGCGAGTCGGCGTCGGATGCGCCGATGGCGGCAGCTTCACCGCCGCCACCGGCGCACGGTCGGCATTGGCCCACGCTTTCCCAGGCCCTGCTGAGGGCGCCGGTGCGCGTCCTGGAATGGCTATCTCTCGTAGTGGCGGACGGCCATGCGATGGCTGCGGCCAACCGCTTCGTGGACATGTACACGGGCGGCGCAATGGTGGCGTTGCTGGTGGAAGGGCGGGTGCAGGTGCCAGCAGCGGCGCTGGCGGACTGTGTGGTGGCGGCGGCAGCGGAGGCGGGCGCGGTGAGCCTCCATGTGACGCTGGTGGAGGTGCCCGCGGACCAGCAGGTGCTGCTGATGCAGGAACTGGAGGGGCGGACGGAGCTGGGACAGGTTACTCGCATGGGCGGACCAGGCCAGGTGAGAGCGCTGATACCGTCACCTGATGTTACAGCGCTGATACCGATATGTGTGCCACGTGCCTGCGCATTTTGCCATATGTCAACACTGACACACACACACACACACACACACACACACAAAAGAAACATTGGTATTTCTCTCATCGCGGGTTAGATCATTAAAATACATATATAAACACACACACAAACGCAAACGCAACACTTGACATTTACATATCGCAGCTCAGGTCAATTTATCCAAACACGCAGCACTCCTGATACCTTCATATATGCGGCTCGGGAACTAGCGCTTTCCGCAAAAGAAACGTCCATCTACGTTTTCTCTGCTTTTTCAACTACGTTGGATAGCGTTAAGAATAGGGTATCAGGAAGAATTGGCCGTACCAATGCCGAGTCGGGGCAGCTACCTACTCAAACCTAGGCTTAGTCCAGCTTTTAGGCTATACGGCTCCGAAACCCAGTACGGCAACCCAGCCGATTGCCCTTTTTCCACATCCAGTCCCTGTGCCCCGGCAGCGGGCAACTAGTTCTGCCAGGGCCTGTATTGCAATGCTTTACAATAAAACGAAACGCAGTATTGCGGCCCATTGACAATTCGTTCCTTCGTTCGTTCGTCTGCAGGAGCGCGAAAACACGTTCACGCTTCTGTGGCGAGGAGAGGGTCTCAGTCGGCACGCCGAGCCCGCCCTCCTGGAGGAGCTGCCGACCTTTCTTGAACGAGTGGACGCCTACGTGTTGGCCAAGGCACGGGTGTTGTTGGGTGATAGCCGCGGGTTGCTCTTCCGCCAGGTGCAAAGCACGCGGCGTGTGTTTGGATTTGGTGACCCACGGGACGGTAAATGTTCGCCTGAGGAGGTCCTCAACCTCTCCGGCATGAGAAACTGAAGACATCCCCCGGATGGATGAATGGCAGCTAGAGCCTACACGTGTTTACGTGTTTAAGCTCCGGTGTCCTTCGTGTCCATATTGTTGTGTGGCGTTCCGCGCTAGGGGTGATGATGCATTCGTTAGGTAGGTAGTAGTTAGTCAGTTACAACGCATGGAGCTATTTCGACAGGTAGGGGAAAGCAGACAGTTGGCGCGCGCGTGCGCTGTGCGTCGCCGTGTTTCATTCGTTACGGCGGCTGAACGGGCGATTTCGAGATCGCGGGTCTTGTGAGGTGGTTTTGGTTATGCGTGACTGTGATTACATGGTCGTGTAGTGCGTCCGATTCCGCTTCAAGAAACGAAAATGCTGTGGTGGGATGCGAAGACTGGCTGGGTGCGGAGATTACTGTGGGGGGAGTTCCGGTCGAGTGGTTTTTGAGTGATTTTGTGCACTGTGCCTGAATGGCTATGATGTTGCCCAGGTGCACTTGGTCAACCAACACGGACGGTTCAGTTGTGGTTATTGTTAATGTTGTTATCTGAATGTGCTCTCGACCGTGGCCCAGAACGTATGCGTGTAGATATACGCGCTATTTGCTACCAGTCGGTTTTGTCTGTCTGGCTTCTGTCTGTCGAATTCGTCTCTGTCGGATTTGTCTCTCTTTGCGTATGTTGATGCTCGTCCCTCTGTCCCCCTCTCCCTTTCTGTCTGTCTGTCTGCCTGTCACCTGTTTTGTCAGTCTGGCAAACTGCATTATTGCAGAACTGGAATTGGGTCATGTGAAAAGGTCGGTGTCGCACCGATCCAGGTGGCGAAAAGCTGGCATTTGCGTGTTCTGTGCGTCGCCGTTTTCGTGCTTGTGGGTCGCCCTTGGTTTTGGTTGGTTCGCCCTCGCGTTGCTTTCAGGAATCCCATCGCCGACCGCTGCTACCACAGGTAGCAATACACGCATAACACATAACACACACACGTTTCTCCAATAGACGGAGTGCTTCGGCGGTTTCTTACCCACGGGGGGCCCGGGTGGCGTCCCCCGGCTGTAGAGGCCTAGGGAGATGCGTAATACATACACGCACACCATAAAACACACACACACACATGAGGCCGCATTTGCCATGTGTTATGTGTGTGTTGTGTGTGTGTGTGCGTGCGTTAATGAAGCTGAGCTGGGAGTGGGAAGCGCTGGTGATCTCATACGGGCGCGACCTTTTTGTGCGTGCGTATGTGCGTCTCTGTCGATATATATGTGTGTAGAATCTAACAAAGTGAGCCACGAGAAGGAAATGGCAAAAGGGGGTAAGGGAGGTGATACACAAGAAACGGCAACTTTACCGTAGTAGTAGTACTACTAGTAGTACACCCGCCCGTTTGTGAGCACGTCTTCGTGTGTGGGGGGAAAAGGGGCGACGGATCATTGCTGGCTGCGTCCGGGTGTGCTTCTGCATCCGCAGTAAGACGCGGACGGCAGCCCTGCCTGACATCCATCGCCGCAACTCCTCTATGACTCTCGGACATTTACGGATATTGTCCTGGTGATTGTCGTGGAGATTGTCGTGGTGATCTCGTCACCGGTGTTGTTTTACACAACAATAAGGGGTGGTGGTCTGTGGGCCGGTATGTCGTGGTTGTCGTCGTCGTCGTCTTTTTCTGGGGAGTGCTGAGCTTTGAGCTGTGGGCATTGTCTGCGACTGTGCTGTTCCGTCTGGTGACAGACAGCTGTGCTGCGGTGCGGTGCGGTGCGGGGATTGAGCTGAGCTTTGTATTGCAAAAAACGGGCTAAAGCCAACTTCCATTCTACTATGGTGTGTAGGTCAGCCACTAAGGCGAGTCGCTTTGAGGAAGTGGTTATTATGATAGATCATTTCGGGAGAATGAAAACCAAGAAGAAGAGCAACGCGTGCGTGTATGTGTGTGTCTCTGTGTTCATTTGAAGGGTGCTCTTCAAAAGTGCAAAGGAGAAGCGCGGCTCAGTTTAACTGGTGACGGTTGGTCGTTGGTCGTTTCACTCTGTACGGTAGGGCCTAGGTTGTGTAGAGGCCTGGGTATGAAGGCTGTCTCGTGTGTTTTAAGAGCACCGTCCTGTGGTGAGCAAGGTTGCGAGCAACCGAGGTACTACTGCGTTACAGTTCTCAATGTCGATGTGAGGTCTGTTGTTGTGTTGTCTAGTTATCGCCTCTAGCGGGTTCTGTCAGACCCGCGGGGCACTTGCAAGCGCCAGAGTGTCCTACCTGGAAAGAAATAATAGGGCTCACGTTTGACCCTGCCTGTGATGTTCCTAAACACCAAATGCGACAGGTTTTTTCTCCTCATCTTGGGCTATCTTAGGCTTTTCAATCTTTCGCCGTAGATGAAAAGAACAGTAGGTTCCTTACTAGGGGTTACTGGAGTGGGCAGGGGATGGGCACAAGTCACAAGTGTGCTTGTTGCGAAAATATTTTATGACAGCACCTGTCGAGAGACGCGTCTGCTGGGATTTTTATATGACGATGGGGCAAGTGCAGCCTGGGCCGGTTTGTCCGTCTGTCTATCTGTCTGTCTTCCAGCGTACTTCGGCGTTGGGTCTTAGGGGCCGTGCCTATCAAGCGCGGCGGTCAGGACACCGTACCTGTTGCTTGCTATTTGTGAATGACCGACAAGCCGCGGCACATCGCTCGGCTCAAGTGGCACAGCCGCTGCAGCCCGAGCAACCTCATGTTCAGTTGTGGCTTTTGCATGGATGGCGGTGATGGGCATCTCTCCGCGAGATGTGGAGAGCCCGAGGCTAGGTAGGTAATGAACGAAGGTCCGCATCCGGGCTTTACAACGGGGCCCCGCAGGCCCCCCGTCTGCAAACAAGGGCTAGTAGATTGGGCTTCACTTGAGAAACCGGGCAGCCAACTGGGCCTTATCCTACGCGCGAGCTTCTGGAGGGTTCGGGGGCGACGGCGTGGTTGCAGTGGGACGTGACCTGATTGGGGCGGCGGCGCAAGTCACCTTGGAAATCTTCTTTTTGTATGGCATGTGTACAACTCGTGTGTACATGTACAACCCGTGGTAATGCGTTGTTTGGTGCTTTGTTTTGATGTTCTGAAGTCACCTCTGCACTCCTCAAATTTGGATGGTGGTGCTTGTGATGTTTTGAGCGTGGATTGCTCGCGGCATTAGCCTGGTATTGAGAAAGCTCTTTTCTCCCGTGGAAAAACATGTTCCCCCGCTGCATGAAGCATGTGAAACGGGGAATTAGAAGGATTTAGAAGGGCAGCAGCTTTGGTTGATGGGCTCTGTGTTGCGGATGTTGATCCTGGCGGGAACTTGGACTGTAAATCGCTCGGCCCTAATGAAACTGGAGGTGCAGTTACGACATGCCATACATACCGCTCCATACAACGAAATGAAATATGAGTTGTCCGTGTCCCGCACCACCTGCCTGCAACATCATGGAGTACCAGACCAGACCCTGGACATCCACAGTATGGATTCCATACTACACATACAACCGACTTCCTGGTGTACCATATGATATGTATGTGTATATGTTTATATCAGCTACAGTCATTACGTCATTACATGTAATAATGACTAGATTGGATACATAGCTGCTCTATTAGTACTATACACATTCCATACCGTTCCACAAACCCTAATGTCCATACCACTACACCATACCATCGCACGCACGACACTTAAACCTTCACTGGTCATGAACGCGGGAGGTACGATAAGAAGACATCCGGATCTCACAACGTGAAAAAAGTGTAATACGAACCGCTTTGCACTATACATGCGCATGTGTGCGCTGAGTGTGCATGCTGATACCTTACCAGGGTTATGGGGCATTATGTGAGGGATCTTCTGCCAATTGATGCCGCACTTCATGAACGAGGTTGATTACTCAGTAATCCGCGGGGAGAAGATTACAGAGTGACATGTGTGTAGGGGAAGAAGATTGTCGGTTGGTCGTTAGCTTGAAGATCAACAACATCCTGATTGGGCCCGGGCTTCCCCGGCGGGACGGGTGCTGTTGGTGGGTCCGACGCGCTGATCTAAATCTTCTTGGAGAGTTCGTGGAGGGTCCGTGAAGGGTTCGTGGAGAGTTGTCCAACCTGTTTGGTCTGCCCTGCTGCTTGGGATTGTCCACAGTGCCACGAATTTGCTTCCATGAGCTTGAGCAGGTAGGGGGCCAGGACCAACTCCGCCTTGCCTTCAATCCTGCGCTGAGCCCACTGAAGAGGGCTTCTGTTACGTGCATTTCGTTAATTACGGTAATGGGCTAACATATTATTATTATTGTTATTATTATTATTATTATTATTATTATTATTATTATTATTATTACTTGTGACGTGTAAGCGGAACAACTGCTGGCGTACTATCGTACAGCCGCCTGTCGTACCCATTCAGGGGTATATCCTACCTCCGGTTATGTATGTGGCATTCAAGAGAATACGGCACTAAGAAATTCGTCCAAGTGGAGAGAGGCGGCTGGCCGAGCTGAAGCATAAGGCCCACGCTACGAGCGATGACTAAGAACGCATAACACGAAGCGCGGCCTAGGTAACCCACATTTATCTCTCTCTCTCTCTCTGCACCCTCTTGTTCCATTCCATCCTTCTGTACGACATGCCGTACTGCTGCACCGCTTCTTCCTGCCCACACCCCTATGTATGTTACCGTGGGAGCTCTGTCGTGGATTTCCACAACTCACACTGGATAGCTCCCTACTTTCTCACTTCGGCAAATGATCTAGGCCTTGGATATGGAGCACCGCTTCCAACCAGCTGCTTTAAAAACGTGTTTGTAACGCCTCTAACCCTCCTCTTCTCCCCCCCACTCCTCCTCAATGCCACGGCCGATCCTGCACACCCTTTTCGCTAAGCCGGCTCCCAGCATCACCGTCCCCCTCCTCCTCCACGCCCGTACCCTGCCCTTCAAGCCCTATCTCAACTCCCTCTTCCCTGTCACCATCCCCATTCCCGACTTCATCGTTGTCATCGTCCTCAGGCGGTTCATCCGCTCCGCCGCTTCCATCAAAACCGCTGTAAACTGCTGTACTCCCCTCATCCTCCATGCCCTCCGAACCCACAACCGCCCCGCCATCATCCCCTCCGCCACGGCTCCGTCCGCCGCCGCCTTCTCCATAGCCATCTCGGCCAAGCTCGCTCCCCCCAGCTTCCTTATATCCACAGTCAGTGGGGCCCCAGGAGCGGCCGCCTTACCGCCACTTGGCCCGGCATTCTTGGCTGCATCGGCCGCGGTGTCAGAGCCGCCCAGGGGTCAGCGCCGAATGACGGTTTGTAGTACGCCTGCATTGCCGCTGGCGTAGCGTTGTCGTCGTTGCTGCCTCCACGGCCTCGGCCCCAGCCGCCACTGCCGCCACGACCCCAGCCGCCATCACCCCTTCCAGCAAATGGCCGGCCCCGCCCCGCCACCCCCGGGGTCACTGGCACTGGCGCCACTGCCGTTGCGACTGGACCTTCTGGTGCCGGTGCAGCTGGCGCCGCTGCCTCCGTCCGTACCCATTTATTTGGCTGGAGGCCACTATGGCCGCCGCTGCCATGCCATCCCCCTCGACAGCCACCGCCACCACCGTACCCTCCCCTGATGCTCAGCCCTGGGTAAGCGGCCCCAGGCCCGGGTGACAGCGACTGATAATACAGCTGCTGTTGGTGCTCCCAGCCTCCGTGGCCATAACCCCTTGGCGTGGCATGCAGCTCGTAACTCGTCCCGGTGGTGGAAGGGCGGGGAGGCCAGTGGCCGCCACCACCGCCACCGGGCCCCCGGCCGTACACATGGGTTGGCCGGGGTTGTGCTTGGGCTGGCATGGGCAGTGCAGGGGAGCCCCGGCCAGAGGGAAGGCAAATGGAGTCGGTAGAGAGTGTGTAGAAAGGGAAGAGGACTCATAGCTGTTCCTGGCAATCGCGGAGGATGAGGGGGGCGGGCGAGGGGCAAGATGACACAGCAGCGGGGTCCAACAGGTTGCCATCTGATTAGCGGCCGTGTAGCCGCCTGGTGCCTGCTTGTTTGACACCTCACCTGTAGAAGGAGAAGCCCCGGTCCGGCTCCGGCTCTGGCTCAGCAAGGGGCAGTACAAACCACTGCGCTGCGCGGAGGCGGTGGACATCACGACCTCAGGGTCAAGCGGACGAGACGGGAGCTGGAGTCCAGGGGATAAGGGGATAGGGTGTAGAGGCGAGGAGGGGGGCTGAGGAGGGGGTGTGGTGGGGAGGTTGAGGGGGAGGTTGAGGGGAAAGGTAGCGAGGGGTGAGGGAGCAGGGATGGGGGTTAGAGGGGTGTCGCGCAAGGGGGGGATTGGGGAGGGAGGGTTTATGTGTCTGGGGGAGCCGTGCCAGCGGAGTGGAGAGACAGAGGCCGAGGGGCTGGGGAGATCGGGGGACGGGCGGGGAGAGCCCGGGAGGGAGGGGACGAGGCAGAGAGAGCACCAAGAGGATGTAGGGTTGAGGGGTGGTGAGTGGAAACAGGGGGCCGTAGCGAGGGCCCGGATGAGGGGAGGTGGGCACCCAGAAGGGGCCGTACTCGGAGGTGCACGCGTGTGCAGGACTAGGTTCTTCGGGGTACGAGACCCGGTTTCGTGTGTTGCGAAGTACAGGTGAGATAATAGTCTTGGGAACCAGCCGCCATGGTAGAGCGGTAAGGGGGGCTGGCTACCCTCACCCCCCCGTGGTTTTCAGATGCTTGATCGCCCGGCGTCGCCGCAGGGTTTTCCCTTTGGGATAAAATAAAGAAGTATAAGGAAGAAGGAAAAGTTATTGTTTTTACAGATGAAAGCGGTTTTGTAGAAACAAATAACATAATTAATCCAAGGACCACCAAACTGGCCGCAGCGTTCGAGATGGACCCAGTGCGGTGGTAGGGCGTGGACTTGTCCAGTGTTATCCCCCCGACGGGTGCTATCTCCCCTGGACTAGCCCAGGAAGGGAGAGGCGGGGGTGGGTAGTAGTCTCAGGAGGCTGCTTGGTGTCTTTGCACTCTTTTTGTGTGAGGTTTTGGAGCTTGGTGACCTCCCCAGCCCAGGATGACTCGTCGGGCCCCCAGTCGCCCGGGTCCTGGACGCGAGCTTGTTTGAGGTGCTCGGTGCTTTCTGTCCGTAGGAAGATCCCCCCCGGTTGCGACTTCATTTCTGTTAGGTGACCAGCGGGCTTAGTACCCGTTTAGCTGGAGCGCTAGCCCCCGGAGGGGAGCACTGATGTGTGCCGGCCGTCGTTTTCCGTGCGGCATGACCGGGGGGCGGAGTGCACGCGACTAACCGGCCGTGTGCATCCCGCCCCCGCACTGTGTTTCAGCCCTGGGCCCCCGGCTTTTCCGCCCGCAGTGTAAATAACGTCATACATACATACATACATACATACATACATACATACATACATACATACATACATACATACATACATACATACATACATACATACATACATACATACATACATACATCCCCGTCGCACAAGCTGTCCGGGAGCAAATTGACAAGCTGTCCGGGAGCAAATTGACCGACACATACAGCCCTCCCAGGAGGCAGCGACAGGCGGCATCACCCGGAAGCAGCTGTGGTTGGTCCAAGCCCCGACCGGCTGCGAGCAGGCCCCCTGGGATGTGATCGCCCTGGCGGCCCTGTCTGCTATGGAGGTAGGCAGGTGCTGCCTGCGAGCAGCCGGAAGACGACTGGAAAGGGCGGCTAACCCCGCGACAGAACAGCCAGAGCAAGTGCAACAGATCCAGGCGCAAGGGCCCCAACAGCGGCGGATAACGGACTTCTTTCACCTGGCCAACGGAGTGAGACCGCACGAGGGGCCGCCGCTGAACGCGCCGGTACTCGAGGATCAAACGCAGGGGCCCATCGCGGGACCGGGGACGGCAACAGCAGCAGCAACAGCAGCAGCAACAGCAACAGCAGCAGCAACCCCCCTGGAATACGCCCGCGCTCGGGCAGTAGTGGACTTCTGGGCGCGCTTGCGCTCTTTCACCGCGCTCAATGTCCCAAGGCGGGGCTGGGACGGAGT